GGGGGGGGCGTTGCGTTCGTGCAGGCATTTTTGTGGTACCGCAAGGACCAACGTTCTTTGGGCACTTCCGCGACGGTCTGTTGCACGGCTTTTCGTGTTGTGTGTCCCCGTCTGGAGCCACTCGACCGCTGTTAGGGGAGTGGCGAGACGGGGAGTTTTTAAGGGCTTTGCCCGTGCAACCGCGCATTGCAGATTTCTACTCTCGTGCTGCGGAGTCCTTAGACCTCCTGCACTGCCCGTGGGCCCCTGTGCCCATTCCTTTGCCGGACGCCTTCATTTTTGGCATCTTCAAAGAAGACATACCACAGGTTCACGCCCCTCCTCGGACGGAACACAAACTGTGTGCTGCCTCCATACTGGAAGCCCTTCGCGTAGAGCTGCCGAGGAATTTGTTACAAAACGCTGCAGCCGAAGGTGACTGCCATCCTGCGCAACCCCAGCAAACAAAGCTCTCCAACGGGCGGCTTCCAGGCTGCTCGAAGCCCATTGTGAGGAAACGGAAAGCTAGCATCTTAAAGGCCCAAGGCAAAGAGGCAGCCTCAGCAAGCTCCCGGGCCAAGGGGTCTTGCGGCGATGCCTGTGGCACGAACGGAGCGACTTCGGCTCCACGAGCCACGACAACAAAAGCTCAGCTCCTGCGGTGGGAAAGCGAAGCTCGAAAGCTCCCTCGTATTCCACACCTGAATTACAACCGAGTACTCGGCAGGTGGTACGCTAGGGTTCGAGACCCAGCTAGTGGCCGCCGAATATGGAAAGGATATACTTGCGCAGTTCACGGCTTCTTCCAGGCCAGGGACATGGCAATTGACCGGTTGAGGCAGTTCAGCCAGCTTGTCTCGCCCCTGCCCAGCGCAACCCCAGAAGACCCCGTAGCAGCAGAAGAGGGCCAACAGCCCCCTGACGTAGCCACTTCACCTCATCAGCAGCTCCAGCAAGATCAAGGACAAGAAGAACCCTACGGAGATGCTCAGCAGCCCAACGCAGCTGTAGATATATGCCCCCTCTCTGGCCCACCCGAAGTAAGACGACCTTCCGAAGAGGCCTTCACACAAGGGGCCGCTCCTCCTGTCGCTGCAGCGCCAGCACCTGTTTCTGCCACTTGCGACTCTGTGCAACTGGCGCCCTACGACGTGGTTACTCCTTCTACATCAGGAACCCAGGAAGACGGGGGCACTTCAGTAGAGGAGAAGATTACTCCAGGGGACGGGAGGGAAGACAGTCCATCACGCGTTGGACTTTGCTCTGGCAAGGCAGCCGCGCCTGTTGCACTGGAGGCCCCGTGCAGTTCCACCGCTGACGATACAGCTGAGCCGCTGGAATGTGGTTCGAAGTTTTGCAATACTACAAAGGAGCATTCATCTGTCTTTCAGTCTTCCGAACTGGCCTGTGGGGCAGAGACGTCAGAAGGCTCTTGCGTACAGCAGGAAAAGGGTTTCGTGCAGGACGAAGAGAGCATTTCGTGCAGCAGGTTAACAACAGCAGACTGTAGTGATTCTGCACTTAGTCGCTGCACCCCTACATATTATGAAAGTGCCTGAGGGCATCAGGCGCTCCCCCCTCTTCCGGCTCTTGGCTGTTTGAGGCTACGGTTGTCAGGTAGACAAACCTGACTGTTTGTGCATCTGCTGCGTAGGTGCTCCCCCTTTTTCCTGTGCATCTTCCTATGTGCTGCTTTTTATGTATTCTACTGCAGTATCTTGTTGCCAAGGGTAGTGCCTAATAAGATTTTGGATTTCGACACCTGACTCATTTATGACTCTTTTAATGGTGTTAAAGGGAAGATGCTAGGGCTCTTCCATGCATAACACTTGTTCCACTGCAGGTTGGTTGAAGTTGGGCTTTCTCTTAATGTCTTTTCTGCATAATCCCCGCACCTGTCTGTACGGTAAGCACCAGTCGCTAGCTTGTTCGTTGGTTCAAACAGACACAGTCACACTCCATTTGGGATGTCCCTAAGGCCACTGTTGCATGCAGAAGCGGCGCCGAAGCAGGCATTTGTCGGTTAGCCGCACAGTCTGTGAAGCACTTGTGGTTACAGCACGATGGGAACTGAATCTGCCAGCCGCTGTGAGTGTCCCTCTCCCCTGGAGCATGTATGTTCATACATCCCCGCTTACAAGGCTTTGCATAAACTCTCCACTATCGCAAATGAGGCGCAGGTTGGTCCTTTCAGTGCCTTTTGCTGAGCAAAGACTCTTCTACGGATTCAGCAGTGCCGTATGCCGTAAACTTACGGGTGCTAACCCGGAGGTAAAAACGAACTGTGATGTGCACTGCAAATGCTTAGAGGAATGGCAATAATGCAGCTAAATGCGCTTACAGAAACGATACTAAGATACGTCGCAGACGCTGCACGAAGTCAGTGCACTGGCTCACCGTGCTCCGATTGCGTTGTACGTCAGCACTTGGGCAGAGAGAAACTATAGCCGACAAAAGAAACGCGCCGTCATTGATGACGGGAAGGAATATGCTTCCCGGAAGACGAAATGAGCGCGCAAAAGGAGCGCAGAGGGAACAGAAAGAACTGTACCTTCAGAATAGCATTGTGTCTAGTTCATATTTCCGTACACCAAACCCACCCAGTTTTCCGCTTTTTCGCGCTTCCCTGTTCAACACAACTAAAATACAAAGCATTCGGTGCAGAAGCAGGGGCAGCTACGCAGCAGCTGGCAGCAGCCGCTGTAGTTGCTTCTTCGTCTGGGCTTATCTGCGCTGGACTCCTCTGCCAAGGGGCCGTCAGTGTACGCAGGCTCCAGCTCGGTGGCTGCAGGATATTAAGAAGTTCCCTTTATCTATCCTTATTCTCGGAAGGTCTGCTCTCTTTGAGTACCCCAAACGCATTCTCCATTTAAAAAAAAGTACAAAACTATGACTGGACTGTTCGTGCTGCTGCGGCTTCTGCTAACGCAAAGGTGAGGTCACCCGCCATTTCTCCTGTTCGTGCTGCAGCCCCAGGCACACGTAAAAAAAGAGCATTTTGGACAGAAATTGCGGAGGCAAAAATCACAGTCACCTCCTTGGGGATCTCCCTCTAAGGGGTATGCGATTACACCAACACTGCCTTCCCGGTGTTACCCCGATGGATGCGAAGTTCCCAGCGTCGTTCCCCAGCTTTGCGGTTGCTATGGTTGCTGCTCCTGCTCGCCCTGTGTCTGCTGCTTCCTCGGCTGTTCTGGCTGCTGCTCTTGCATCGGCTGTGTATGGAGGCCTAGGAAGTTTTGAGGCGTATGGTGCGTCATTTTTTCTGGAGTCAAGTGCAGAAGGGGGTCCGAACTATCCGCGGAGGCTGGTGCTGCTTCTGTTAGCTTGGCTGGTTCTAGTACAGGGGTTCGTGGGTGGATGGCTAGCGTTGGTGGTGGTACGATCATACAAGGGTTTCTCTTTATCAGCACCATGTGCGCAAAGAAGATATCTGAAACGCACAAAAAGAACAGAAGGAGGATTTCGGGTAATGACTTCCCCTAAGAAGGCATCTACTCGTAAATAACGCCTATTGGCTAGGCGGAAAGCCAAAGAGCCGTCGTCGGGTACTCGCCGCTGCCGCTGTGGCCCACCTTCAATCCACTCGGCCAAGCTGGTTCCTATTATAGGCGTCAGCAGCACTAGTGCGAGAAGCAGCAACGCAGCGGCGCTCTTCATGCCGTGTTGATGATGTGCTTTGTCCTTCTGAGGGCCATCGTGGCGCCGGAGATGCAAAAATGAGTTGCCTGATATAGCCTCAGCGCCGTGATCAACCATGGATGATATGTGGAAGGCGTCACCCGTTGAGTTTTCAGCAGGCGCTTGAAGGACATGAGACAAATGCGAACTTCGCTGTTGCCACCGGAGGCGCTGATTCTCTAAAAACAAGGCGTCTTCCTGCTGCTGCAGGAAGTTCCGTGCCAACTGGGCGCCTCCACCAAGCAGCGGCTTCTGTTGTTGAACAGTGACAAAGGAGACCTCAACTTGCTGCATGGGCTGCCGCTGGGTTGCCAGCAGTAGATTAGAAATTTCATCAAATGCAGCGGGGCCTCGGCTACCATGGAATGCTGCTCCGGAATCAGAAACCATGGCACAGAGGCCCAATGACAGTGCAATACAGAGAGCACCAAGGCTTGCCAAGAAGAAGGATCCCCTAAGCCATAGGGCAACTAGCCACGCACCTTCAGAGGATGCCTTCGTCTGCTGTGAGGGCTCTGCATTGAATTTACGCTCTGTGACTAGAGCCTCCTGGTCGGTCGCTGCTGGCCTTGTAGCTGCTGATGCAGGGCCTCCCACAGTCCTTCGCTGCTGCGCCATAGCTGGCCCCTGTAGGCGCGGGGACAGCTTCTCTCGAAACAGTTGGGCAAAAGCCGCAACAGATGGCGGGCTGCGCGGCTTGCTGGGAGACAGTGACAAAGGCCTTCCTTGTGCCGCATCGCGCGCCAAGTCATCTAAACTGTAAAGGTGGGGGTTCGGTGGACAGAATATGTGGTAGCCTCCCCGAGAAACAGCCAGAAGGAGTTCGAGGTAGTGGCACAGCAGCAAGACAGCAGCAAGAACTGCTGCTGCAATGAGAGGCGACAGCCACCACAGATGACTATAGCCGGCGAAAGCGAAGAAACCCTTAGGTAGAGCGCCTTCCGCCAGCGCAGCTATCAGTTGCTGGGTCCCTATAGTAAAAAACAGAAAGCCTGCAGCGCAGACGGCCCACAACCCACCTAGTGGTACTGGCTGCAGCACCAACTGGAGCAGTATTAGGCAAGTGCAAGCGATGATAGCTCCGAAACTCAAAGGAGCTGCTTGAAGACCGATGCACTTTAGAAGTGCAGCAGAGATGGCGCATGCACAGGAAGAGTACATAAGAGACTTGAGGTGGAAGCTTGCGAAGAGCAGCGCGTTGCCCACGTGGGCTTTCACACTTGTCTGCGAAACCCACACAAGCAGCGACTTTCGAGGTTGGAAGTGGGTGAGTGATATTTTCACCGGCGCCACTCCAAGTGACGCTACGTCACACTGCTTACTATACAAAACATACGCATATAAAGGTATATACCTACAGCATGGGTGCGTGGAAAACGCATGTGTGTTCATGCATAATCTAGATGATGCGCACTGGTACGTGCAAACGCTAGTAGGTATTGAACAAAATATGATCTAAAATTGGCTGGTTTTATCTGTACTGATGCAACCATCTTGCCTTGCGTTTCGTTTGTGAACGTATCAAGTAGGTGTATGCCTGCGTGTCTGCCTGGAGGTGGACTAAGGGCTGTGCGCCCACTGCGTTATCTCTGGCTCACCACCCACGCGACACCAACTGCAGCAATCGAGAAGAAGAGGCAACTGCCGGAGAAGGTGGATAGCAGAATACATCCCGTGAGTCTGAGGTGTCGGTTCTTTTCTGCCGAGTCCGCCCACGGTGCTGCAATGAAGCAAAAGAGGGCGGCAATCAACTGCCCGGTAAGCGCTACGCACCCCGTATATCTCACGGTCTTCCTTAAGGTCCTAACGGACCAGTACTTGAGTTCTAGCTGGTACAGATTGTCGTATTCTCGTGAAAGTGCAACACTGGGTCTGTCATCTTTGCCCTTAAGAAGGGATGCTGGGTCCTCCATCTTTGCGTCCGAGCAACTTGTCTTTTTCGACCTCCTCAACAGGCATACCCCCCCAGACAGTCTGATTCTTCAGCATATAGAATCTGTTTAGGTTTCAGCCAAACAAAGCACCTGAGCAGGCGGGTGCTCAAGGGACAGACCAACCACTGACGAGCCCTCTGGGCCACAGGCCACAGACGAATCCGCCTGCAGGCGCGCCTCCACCTCCTACTTCTTTTCTAGCATTACACAACACAGATCGACGCCCGCCTTATAAGAAAGAAATGAGTACCATTACGTGCCGAACGAGCTGGTCCTATGTGAGCGACAGCCAAATGGGCCCTCTGTGGGACGGCCCAGGCTGTGGCAGGTAGATGCTTCTCTGGCCCTGTCTTTCCGAGTATATGAGTCATTTGCATCTAAAGAATCAGTCTATTACTCAAGGAAAAGTCAAATCAAACTCTGAAGACGCCCCAGAAGCTTGCCATGTCTCCAGGCAACAGGGGGCCTTACTCGCTTTGGTTGGCTGGCTGCGATGGGCAGAAGCACGAGACCCTTAGTTGGGTTGTGCGGAATAAAATAACATCAGGTTTTTACTCCACTAAGAAAAAATTGATTAAGATTTAAATGTCCAAGGACCACCTATTAGCCCCGTTTCTCCTCATTCAGAGCAACGACCGCCTGGTGGTCCACACTCGCCCGATGCTCCCGGCTGCCTGTCGGCGGCTGCCTAGAACTTAACTCGAGTGAGAGTGCTTGGCTTAAGTGGTTTCGCTGCTGACAAATTCGCTACTAAGACAACCTCAGCCTTTCGATTTTGCTATAAGAAGCCCTATGCGCACTCCCCCCATATACTGTGCCAGTCACGGTTTTGGGGTGTTGTGCGTAGAAAAATGCATCTCCTGTGGTGCCTACTGCTAGGAACCGTACGAACACTGAATGTGTTGCAGCCGCCTATACCTTAAGGTCACCCGAATTGCTTTCTGCAAGGCGACATTGCAGCAAAGCGAGCTGCTTTTCAACGTTCCCTACCTCGCAAGCACTCTCTGCAAATGTGCAACACCAGCTCAAGCTTATGAGCCCAGATCCTGAAATTTTTCTCGGTTTGATCGTTTATATGTCTTGGCAAGCCCTTATGGGCGTTCAGACGCAAGGTGCTGCGGCCCTCTTCTACTGCTAGTGCTTGTGGTGCTTCATCGCCGCTCGCACAAAGGATTGAAGGCACCACAGAGATTCAAAACTTGCACAGATAAACTCATTGGAAAAAACAAATTAAAAGTCATAGCTCCTCAACTACACTCTCCCGCCGCCAGCGCCCAGCAAAGTCGAGCTTCAACACCTGAAAACAGCAAGCACCAAATGAGCTTTCCGTCAGCATCGTCAGCACTAATGCACCACTGGGCCCCGCTTCGTCCCCCACCTCTCGTCTTCCCCGTCCTTAATGCCCGGGCGTTGACCGTGCAAGTTAGCCCATCTACTGTTCCCGTTGTTGCTTTCTAAGCAGAACTCCCTTGGGCACCATTAGTTTTTATGACGGCAATTAGAATTTAGTACGAGTGCCCCTAGCAAAGAGCAAAGAGCTGTCCTGCTGGCTAGTAGGGAAGAAGATTACCATTTGCTTTCTGAAATTGGCCGCATCTCCTTCCGAGGCTACTGGGGAACAGCCCTCCGCCAACTGGGTGGCCAGCATGCAGCACAGAACGCCCGAGTCTCTTGGGTCGTTCCTTTTGGTGACATTAGGCTGAGGAATACGCACAGATCAGCAAGCAGGACAACCCTCCATTGCTTTCGGCGTGTTTTAAAGCTTGAATTGGCGCAGACTGAACTCATGAAGGGAAGAATCCAAGCGGGATGACGCACCTCTGAAGCGAAGTTTGCTCGATGAAGACTGGACAATTTCCGGCCTGGACGAAAAAAGTCAAACACTCGCAAAAAGAGTACCTCCTGCGCTTCCACGTACACTGGACCACTGGCAGGTTGTCTGCGCAGGCTGTGACTGTATGAGCCTGTGCCCAGCCTTCTGGGTTGAGTAGCCCTGTCTCACCATCAACCCTAGCAAGCTGCTTCACCAGGCGCAACATGTTTGTCATGGGCACCTCCCCTGGTTCTCCGAATGGGTCGAACCAGCGCAGTAAAATCAAAACGGAGTTTGGGCCCTTACTGCAGCACAGCAGCTCTCCGTGACGCACTCAGAATTCGCGTCCCGGCAGCAGCTCACATAGGGGAACAAATAGCTGCGTTATTAGAAGAGCTACATAATTCCTTCACACCAAACTCTGTCATACTCGTGTGCCCCCACATGATATCAAGGACAATGAGGCAGAAATGATTGCGGCTTTTCATGAGTGGGAAGATGGCTATATGCTTCTCCAGTATCCGTTGAGCCTCCATGGCTCCCTGACGCCAGAAATGCAACAGATACAAACTACAGATGAAACCGAGGCATCCCACTGCTCTGCGAGCATAGAAGGCTACAGCAGCGCCATTCTTGAACCCTCCTTATCTAGCATCCGGCACGGAAATATTCCCAGACTCCCGAACAAGGCTAGCTTTGCTCACCAGCAGTTGTTCTCTGTCCGTCGCGGAGAAGGAGGGGCTGAGCAGCTTCGAAGCCACTTCGACAGGCAGGCTCGTGTGCCTTGGCCGCTTCCGCCTGCATAGAGCACGCATAACCCTATGGCCAACGGTTTGAGGAAAAACCCATTGTGCCGCAGGTGTCCGTGCACCTGACGTGCAGGAATATCAGCTACTCCTGAGATCATTCCTACTTGCTGTCGGTCATCGGAGTCTTGTTGATCTGCAAAAGCCACGTGCACAGCAGGAGCAAGCTACAGGCAAGAGTGCGAGGCCCCGTATCACTTGCAGTCTGGTTGCAGGGAGGCCTTGTGGGCCCTCAACTGTGTACCTCTGGCTACTGCAGATGGCAGCTGCTCAACGCTGCTCTCCATGGGCAAGCTAGCTTAAGGGACATCAGGGCCTGTTGGGGAGAGACTTCACCTCAAGCACCCGCATGTAAATGTCTACGAGTTTGGAGGTCAACGCCTTGTATTGAACGATGGATTGCTGCTCTTCCCTGACCACGCAGAGACAAATGCGCAGAAAAAGAGATGTGCACCTTTAGCAGCAGATCATCTGCAACATCTGTAGAGAATATATGTTCTTCTCTCCTCCGGCTGGCGTATGGTGCAGATCGTGAGGCCTCAAATTGCTGTGTTAGCCCTACGAAGTGACTGTCATTCCCTCTATTAGGAAAGGACGAAAGCCCGAACTTTTCCATCGCCGCAAGATAGTGCCAAGCAGTTCTTCCTCTGCGGACATAAGATGCCTACACTAGCCGAGTTGAGCAACTGATGCTGCTCTTGATGCTGCTGCCGTTGTTTCTGGATATATGAGAGGTAATGAGCCAATTTGAGGCTTCCAATATCCAAAACAAACTGCACCAGCCCACCTGAGGCGGTCAAATCCCTGATAGTCTCTCCGCACGGTTCATAGCGTCGGTTGATCTTCGATACCTGTGAAGAGAAACAAAGAACAGTCTTCTATATATCTCGCCGAGCTTTAAACAAATGAAGGTGCCTCTTGAGAGCAGGAAACAGTCCGCATAGGTCTTCCCATGAACTGGCTCACCGCTTTGTAGATTGCGGACATCGGCAGCGTGGAGCCCTCGAGCTGCTTGGGCGAAATGTGCCAATGCAAGCGTGGCATGCTGCTCGTTGCAGCATCTGCTTGGCCTTCATCTCCGCTGGCCTCTCCCTCGCTCCAATCACTCTCGCTTAGCTCGTCAGGTTCTTGCAGGCCCCCTGAATGCAGTCTTGGCTTTTGCTGCACCTGATCCTCTCCAGAGGGCTGCGCCTCTGGCAGCAAAGGCTGCTTCGCTTGCGCTTTATCGTCCGAATCTCTAGGTAGCTGCGGCTGAAGACGTTCTGAGTCCGCGTAGCGGTGATTTCGGAGCCCTTCCTGCTGCCTCTGCTGCTGTCCTTGAGCCTCATAATCCGAACTGTCTCCTGTAAGGCCCTCCGCAGTTGCATCGGGCCCCCGATGGGCGTGCTCCCGTTGTAGGTGCTGCTGTTGCCGTGGCAGCTGCTCCCCGTGACCCCTGGTCCTCAAGGAAACCTCCTTTTCCTCGACCGCCTTGGGCAGAGCCCACCAGAAGCCGCTCGGGCCCTCCCCTTCTCTGCAGACAAAACATAAGAAGTGGCAATGACTGTTTGCAGCCGCCAAAAGGCGACTCACATTGCATAGCCAAAACAACAAGCCAACGCTTCCAGGGCCCCTCTGTCTCTGCAAGGCCTCTGGACCTGCGCAAGGAATCCTCAAGAGCAAAAAGCAGAATTAGGAGAGGCCTAGCTGGCCGCTTGTCCGGGTGACCCAGTGGGAAGACGCACGGCGTGGGGAGTTCCGACAGGGAGAGGGGCCGCTGATACCGAGGGGAAGGAAAGAGACAGCCAGCAGCCCCGGAGTTACCCAGCGCAGCTGCTGTGCCTTCATTCGGCTGTATGCCTCCTGCGACACGCCAGCACGCAAAGTGGCCTTCGCTAACGTCCCTCTTATTTAGACAGGCCACGTATGGGTGGGAGTCAGAGAGCTAGAGCCAAGCAGAAGACTCTAAGACGATGCATTGGGAAAATGATAGAAGGGCGCAATTGCAGCAAATGATACAGGCGGGCGAACGAAGAAAGCAAGGAGGTTTTTCGCCGAGGCTCAGGCATACAAACAAACAGATATGAAGGCGAAATGGGGAGGAGAGACAGGAGCAGCAGAGCGTTGTAGGAGAAGTGGAAAATGCAAAAGCAGGAGAGAGTACAGCCAGACAACCGAGAGAAACAGGGCCGCTGTGCTCTCGGTGCTGTGCCCACCTGCAGTGTGTGCTGGGTGGCTGAGCAGCCCCAGCAGGGCTGTCAATCCCACTACATGTTTGAGCATGTTGACACTATTTTATATCTCTGTTTTGATGTTTCTTGTGTGCTGTAAAGGGCCGTTGATGGCCTGAGGGCTGCGGCGGCCCCTGGAGGACGTCGGGCCCCGAAGGCTTTCTTGTGCTGCGTATTTAGTGGCTTCCAGGGTTTATTGAGGTGTACAGGCACTGCAGCGGGAAAGAAAGCGGCAGCAGCCTTGCTGCCCTTGGAGCCCAAGGGTCGCCGCCGACAGAGGGCCACGGATATTATCGGGGCCTCCTGCGTTCGCCTTCTTCCCTTTTTAGAGGTATTCCGATTCAAAAGAAACACTAAAAATCCGTTTTCAAACTAATGCACTGGCCGAGGAAACAGGAAACGACACAGAGACCTCTTGCCGCAAACAAAGGGTCCACTGGGGCCGGGGCGGTCTCTTGCATGTGTGAGTGGGCAGCAGGGTCATGCAATGGGTTTCTGGTGACTTGTGGATTAAAAAGAGCAAATGCCTGTCTTTTATTTGGTTCACTTTTTCAAAGATCTGCAAAGCTCGAGAGAAACGACCAAAATACTGTCGGTAATGGTGGGTCCTCACAGAGAACACCCCGGCGTATTTATCTCGGAATCCCAAATTCTTCGTATGGTGTAGATAATATATACAAATATGCATACCTATACTTATGTATATTATTATATATGGAGGTGTGATTGGGTTTCTATATTTGCATATGTCTTGCACTGCGCTTGAAAAAAAGCTAGAGCTAAGGACATACCTAAATATGTCCTTGGCTCAAGTATTGACTGGGGGTGGGGACAACAACCACCGAGATAATGGCACGTTTTTGCCTGCGCCTCCGTCCTCTGTCACAAGCCATTTCAAAGGAAAACAAATGCATGGGAGCGAATCCTCAACCGAGTATTTGCCCTAAGTGGGCTTGAATACCAACGCAAGAACGTGGCGTTCTGCCGAGCAATATGTATAGCATGCAACTACTATAGGTGTATTATATAGACTATATATAAATATTGCTCACAAATGCATTGCTCATATATATACACAAATATATGGTGCCGTGGTTTGCCTCGGTGGACGCATCCCAGGGACCTAGTTAACCCATTCGCCCCGTGGTAAACAAATAAAACTCAGCAGAAGACCACCGACGATAGTACACCAGCTGATACGAGTCTTTTCTGGTTGTTTAGACCCTCCCCAAGTGGTTGAGCCGTAAGCCCCGAAGAGCCCCAGGGGCCCGCCAAACGACCCCATTGCCCTAAGAGAACCACTGTTATGGATGGTTTAATGAAGGGCTATGAGGCAGCCTCCTCAGGCAGCCATAAGCTAGGCTCACCTGAAGGCCGTGAGCGTGAATAAGGGGCTGAACCCATGCAGAGGTCACCGACTACGGGCCATGTACTCCTCGGCTCAGCGGGTCTGGACAGGCAACAGCACTTTTTCGAGCGTAATGGCGTGTCTGCGTTACTTAGTTGGGCTCAGAAGTTTTGAGCACAGACCAGCTAGTCTTTGCTGCCTGTCTGTTGTATTGAACCCCTAGTCTAGTGCTGAGCCGAAATCGCAACGGAGAAACAAACACTGCATAAAGCCTTGTACTGCTGCTGAAACCCCTTCTATCTCTACGGCGAGGGACTCTGGAGGCGTAAATCTGTCTCGGTCTTTTTGTCATTTTGGTAGTTAGCGTGTGCAGCTACAGAGGTTGCAAGGTCGGCACGGCGACCCCCCCAATGAAGAGTCTCACATTCATTTGCAAGAATTATAAGGCCAGGGGAAAACTACGGCAAGACCGCGTGGGGAGGCGGGGGCACGAGGATTTTTGTGGGCTCTAAGGGAGGAGGGAGGGGTAACGGCAGAGGAGAAGGGACGGAGGCATCGAAAACCGGTTCAGCGGCATAGGTTTCAACAATAGCCTGGGGGTGCGCGTGGGTGGTGGCGGCATGGTGGATAGCGTCGCATACGGCCTTATCTCTTTTTTTCTGTCTCCTTTTTCTTTTGCATGCGTCTACTTTGTGCCCGAAGACGCGGCCAAACATAATGGCAGCAGCGAAGAGACATAGCACAGTCTGCGCAGCAGCTAGCTGTACGAGGGAGGCCACGCCTATCTTGTGCCCTAGGGCCCGAGCCCACTGCTTAATGTTCACCAGCCGCTTCAGCTGTACTACAAGAGGCGTCTCCGAGTGGATGCGGTTGCTGTAGACGATAGTATACGTCTCCTGGGCAGCGGACCAGGCTAAGAGCGCCACGAAAGCCGACGCCCCAAACAGCCCCATCAACACCGCCAAACGCCAACGCCCAAAACACCCGAAGTTCAAACTCAACAAGCAAGCGAAAGACAAAAACCCAGAAGGAACTCCAAACACAGGCGGCGCCATACCTCCTACCGCAGCCTGCAAGAGCAGGAAGCTCACCGCCCAAGACACAATTAACGCAAAAGACGTCCTGAAACACAAACATACAAACTATACACCCTAGATCGTAGGCCGTAAATCCTCGCAGTCAGACTGCAAACACCGCTGCAACAAGCGACTACACCAACTCCGCAACTCCGCAAGACCCTGTTCAATGTTGTGCTTGAAAGCTAACGATGAGTGACAGAAAAAAGGTCTTGTCTGTGCTTAGAATGAGTACAGGGCGATGATGATGCCTTCGAATGCTTTGAGCTGTGCATGCGTGGGTGTACGTACACTGTGGCTCCGACCGCAGTGTCGTGGCAAGTGGCTCTCGATGCTCGAGCGCTAGCCCCTGTAGCTGCAGCGAGCATAACGCCTGCAGCTCGAATCATGACCTCGTGTGTCTTAACAAAAAGAAGGGTGCCGTAGTTGAAAGGCGCAAGGAAGGCATTGATATTTGTGCCCCGCAAGCCAGACTGCGCCACTGCGTAGCCGGCTAGCCATGTAGCGCATGTGGCAGCTGCCCCGAGGCATATGAAGGCCTGAACGATGCTCAAGCCGCGCATGACGCGGGCCCATTTGCAGCAGCCCAGGAAAACGGCGATTGCTGTTGCCCCCGTCGTCAGCACACAGAATAACAGCAACAACGCAGCAAACACGTATGCGAGGCACCAGGCGTAGGTCTTCGGGTCTCTCTGCAACAAATACGTGTAAATGGCAGGCAGTTCCGGGTCGAACGAACTCGGCTTCAGCCCGTGGAGGCGCTTGCCATTGCTAGCAGCAGCCAGTAGCAGAAAAACAGCTCCCAGCTGCAGACCTAACGATGCAGACACCAGCCCGAGCGGCGGGAGACATGGCAGCAGGCGGCAAGACCACTGCCTATTGGAGCTCTCTGTCGAGAGCTCTGAATCCACAGAGTACAGAGGATACGCTACAGAGAAGGCGCAGGGGTCAAGCACCTCGTCGGGGTCTGCATAGGCCACCCCAACGTCGTCCCCCCAGGCCACATCAGGGGGAGCTATCATGGGGCTCTACTCAGGGGCGTGCGGCGGTGCATGCTATTGGTTTCTCAGCTTGTCCCCCTACGCCGCCTCCAGCAGCACCTCCTGCCCAGCAAGCTCTCAGCTGGAAAGGAAGGCAGCAGCTGCATCAGCCACATGCCGCCCGACGCTCGGAGACAGTCGCCGCTGCTCCCGCTGGCTTGCCTGTTCGCTATTAAAACGCTTCACATCTTTATGCTGCTCAGATGGCAGGAAATTGCTCAATATTTTGTATAATTGTTTTTTTCGCACGGTAGGTAACAGTTAGCTCTGCTGTGCGCCTGGGCTCCTCGACCGCAACTCCTGTTCCCTCTAGGGGAAGGCTTGCACGCGCACTGCGTGCTTCTGGTGAAGATCACTTTACTCGCAGTTTGTCTTTTCTCCTCCTACCTGTCTGCATCCGTGTGCGTGCGCGTCTTCTTATCTGTCTCTTTCTTGGTTGTGCGTGGCTATCTAGGGGGGCCTGGGACCGCCTGGCTGTAGGCAGGTCCCGCAGCACCAACGACAAGTTACCAGGCTGTGTACCTCTATAGAAAAACTAAATTTTGTCCCCATTCATAGATATTACCTGCTCTTGCGGAGGAGACACAAAAAGAGGCACCCTTGGAGGGAAAGCAAGCCAGGCTGGAGTTGGGATGCATGCGCGGCGGCTGCAGGTGGCGAGTTTGAAAAGGGGGCTCTACTAACTGCAGATAATTAATCTAAATTAAAAATGGAAGCATTTAATTTATTTACTTTTAACTGCTTGCTTACAAGAATTCAGCTTAAGGGTGTACGCAGGATCTAGGGCCCCGCGTCCCCCGCAAGCAACAGCAGTCGTCGTAGAGCAGTCCTCGTGTCTCTGTCTCTCAGGCGCCGCTCCTGTGATATATGCAGCGCTCCCTTTTCGCGGTATATGTAGGGTTTACCGTTAGGGCATAGGGTTTAGGGACGAAGAGCAGTGCGTGGTGAGCTACCGGCTTAGGGCCTCAGATCAACAATTAACTAAATTGCAGTCTGCATCATGGCGGCTCGCCCTGGAGATGGAGCCGTGTTGCTCCTCTTCCCCGAAATTCTTCGGCAGAAGAAGGTAGCCAAAGCCACTCGTCTATTTAAGACACGCGGCAAGCCCAAAAGAAACACAGAGAAAGGAAAGAAACATTGAGTTTATTGTACACTATGACACAACCCGAGCTGCATAGGTGGACAACGTTCACTGTACGAAAAGCGAGACACCGACTGAGCTCCCACGGGTAGCAGGGGACGCGGCTCAATGCCCTACAGCTCTATATATATATATATATATATATATTGTGTGGATCTGTATATAGTCTTTCTCTCCAAATATATATATATATATATATATATGGATACATACATGTTGATCCGCATAAGTGGGGAGTGGGAAGGGGAAAGAAAATGGGCATCTGTGATGCAGCGGCAGCCGAGTTGATCTTTAAACTGTCCGTACACCTCAATAGCACAGTGCTTGGCGCGTTGTTAGGGGCCGGACGTGGAAGAGTTGCTGCTGGACACATGCTACGACATCATAAAGACAAAGACCTTCGCCTTCACAGAGGTACTGGGCAGCCCTTACAATCGCGCCTGCCTGGTCCCTTCCTGCAGACGGCTCTTTCTACAGGGTACCCTTTAGAGTTTGAGGGTTCAATGCTTAGGGTTTAGGGTTTGGGGCGCTGACTGCCACAGGAAGAAGCAAACGAGGCCCTGCCAGAGACACCTGAAGGGTGGAATCGCGATGAGCTTATTGAGGAACTCACCCGCGGCCTCTCTACAGTCATTCTGCTGCAGCACCCCCTGGGCAAAACCCGCAAACGGTTGGCTGAGTCCCTTGCTGCAGCAGCTGCCGCTCCAGCACATGCTGGAGTAGCCCATGCAGCAACTGCTGAACCAACAATTGAAGCAGCAGCTGACGCAGGTGATGATGCAGCAGCTGAAGCAGACGACGAAGCGGCTGCCGAGGCGGCAGATGGGGCAACTAATGAAACAACTGATTCCGCATCAGCTGAAGCCGCCGCTGAGGCATCTCAGGAAGAAGATGAGACAGGCCTGGTAGAGGCGTGAGGCTCACGGGCCACCCGGTCCACAACGGGCGTGGGCGAGGGGAGGTGGCGGTTAGACGTAGGCACAAATAGGCGGCACAAATACGCGCAAGAGGCAGAAAAAGTGGAGACAAACGGACGAGCACCCAACGACAAACACACAAACTCAAGCAGACAGTGACAGACAAAGATAGAAGGATAGTGACAGCAGCCAAAGGACCAGATTATGAAGGGACAAAAAAAATAAAGAGTAGCAGAGAGTGAAAAAGACTAAACCATACTGATGGAGCGGAAACACAAATAACACAAAGACACAGGACAAAAACGCAAAAAATGCCGAGGCAGCCAGGCTGTTGCTGCAACGCGCTAGGGCGGGAAACGACGCAAGGCGCTGAAGCCAGATGATCCCAAGACAGAGAACAAGAAAAAAGGAATAAATGCGTTCGCTGCTACTCGTGGTTTTGCAGGTTCCGCAAGGCTTTCTGTATTGGGGCCTCCACGCGGCAGCAGTTCTACCTCAGCAGCTGCGGCTGGACCTTCGAGCGAGACGTCCTCTTCTTCTACCCGTCGGGTCCGGTTTCGAACCTAAGACTGCTCCTGCTGCTGCAAAAGCTGCTGGCGCTGTTGCTGCAGTAACAGCGACTGATCATGCTGTGCTGCGCCTCTCACAGGGCAGGCAGCCTCTTGGGAGAGAAAAGCGGCATCCGGGCCGTCCGGGCCCTCTTCATTCTGTTGTTGCATGCGCTGTTGCTGGTGCTGTTGCTAATGCTGCTGTTGCTGCTGCTGCAGTGAAATCATCTGAGGTTGAGCGCTCAGTGCTGCTTCTGAAGCCTGACGTAACTGCTGCTGCAGCAGCAGCAGAAGCTCGAGGGGAGCCCTGCCCCGAGCGGGCTGTGGAGGCCCTGCTGCTGGAAGAGGGCCTCACGGTTTTGGCCTCCGTTGAATTTCAACTGCACAAGCAGGACATTGCAAAACTCTTCCCCAGTCGCATCGGGAAGGTATCTACCCCCCAGACCCTCCTGTAGCAGCAAAGGCACTCCTGTAGGGGTCCCATGGCCCATAATGCAAACGTGAAAGGCCCTCTAGGGCCCCACTGGCGCCCTTTTTGGGGCTTCCATAGACCAAATAACTCAGTTGTTGGGGAGCCAGCTCCTTTGCAACCGAGCCCTTGGGTTTTGTAAGGATCCGTGTTGAGACATCGAGCATCCTTAAAGCCCTTTGTGGCCCACAAACTAGTGTATTGGCGCTCTTTGGATTTGTCAGAAGGCTTGACGATGCCTAGGGTGTCAGTCCCTTTTTGAGTTGGTGAACGGCTTTGCCGCTTGAAACTCCCCGTTTCTGCCGCTGCTGCTGGGATGCTGGGAGCCCATGGCGGATGCTGCTGCCGCTGCAGCAGCAGAAGGTGAATCTTCTTGGCTTGCGGGTGTTTGCGATTGCAGCCAGACTACCCCGAGATGGAAGCCTTCTTGTGCGAAGCTTCGGGTTGCAGTGAGTCAAACGCTGCCCAACGAAATCAGCCCGGGAAAGCAACACCAGCAACGCAGGCAACAACACCTGCTACCGGTGCTGCTGCAGTATGCCATTAGTGAAGCGTGAAATGCTAGCGTCCAGTTCGCTTTTCCCGCGCTCGGCTCCTTACCTTTTGTGTTTCCGTTGAATCTTTCTGGGCTGTAGTTAGCTGCAGCTGAAACAGCAGCGGTGACTGTTGTGGTTTTGTCTTCTTAGAGGCCATTGCGGTTGAAGGCTACGATGCACTCCGCCGCTTGCGGCAGTTGTGCGGCCCCCCAGACCCAGCGAGGGCTGCCGTTCTGCGGCCGTACAGCTTGCGTGCTCTGTGTGGGACATCGCTCCTGCGAAATGGCTTTGTAAGCAGCAGTAGGGACAGCATCATCAACAACAACTGCAGCAGCCCTGCAACAGAGCTCTTGCTATAGTGAAATCGCTGGCGCGTGTACATCCGAACAAGATCCTGCGTAGTGCCCCTAATGGTGACCTGGCTGCCCGTTCTTTGTAGCTGCTATAGTGGGGCTCCTCATGCCGTTGCGGGGACCCTTGATGCGTTTTCTGCTGCTGCAGCATGCCCCCAAGACCAGGGGAGAGGCCACGCGTTTCTTAGAACTGCTGTTTGGCAGTCCGCCACACCCACAGCCTCTTATCCGCGCTCAACGCACCTTTGCCGTCTTTTTGATGAAAGAGCTGCAGTTACTGCAGCTGCCGCAACAGCAAACGCACAATATGGCGCACCAGAGAGAGCCGCAGGGGCAGCAGCAGCGACGGCTGCATCAAGAGCGGGAACAGAAACAACAGGGGATACGCAAGCTACTGAAGCAGAGGGGTTTTTATATTCTCTGGGAGAAGGAGGTTCAACTAAACAAAGAGACGGTCGGCCTTCTTTGCCAGGTGAGGCATCCCTACACCTGCGGCTGAAACTGTTGCTGCTACTCCTGTTGCTGCTGCTGCAGGCATATGCAAATGACTTTGCATGCAGCGGCTGCCTCGTGTCCTTCAGGAGTGGCAGGACAGGCCTGACTATCCTTCCCTTACCGCCTCACTTGAGGGTCAAGAGGCATGGGCGCTACTGCTCGCTCGCACCGGTGCTCCCCGGGTGTTTGCTGATCTTCTGGGACCTCACTGCCCCATGCCATTCGGCGCTGCTGCTGCTGCTTCTGCAGCAACAGCAGCGACAGCCGCCGCAGCAGCGGCGGCGGCCGCCAAGGCCTTGAGGTCTAGACAGAACGGCACCAGCACCAGCGAAGAGATTGTGGCAGCAAACCTGAGGGCGGAAAGGGCGGCAGCAACAGCCGCAGCAGCAGCAGCAGCAGTGGGGATGCCGCGGCAGGGCAGTCTGTGCGGTATGGCTCGCCGCTGTGTTGGCTTCGCTGCAGCAGGCGAACAGGAAGCAGCAGCACTTGCGACCGCTTGCTCTGCTCGGCAGCTGCCACTGCTTCTGCTGCCTGCTGCAACAGACACAGCAGCTTCGTATCTCTTAGAAGCAGCGGCCACAGGCCAACGCCCCTTAGCGTACGCGCCGCTCGAGTGCTTCATATGTAACTGTTGTCATTCCATGTGCTGCTGCTGATAATTTTTCCACTCTCTCCCCTTCCGGCCGCTACTGTTGATGCGGCTGTTGCTGCGGCCGTCACTGCTTGTTGGGAGTGCAAAGGCTGCTGTCTCCGCTGCTGCTTGTGAGGTGCAGCCTGGCGGATTGGCGCGACGGCAGCGAAGGTCCACAGACCCTTGAATCGTTGCTGCTCAAGTGCGTCTGCACAGCAGCTACCGCTCTGATGTTAACGTGCCTGCTGGTTCTACCGTCCTGCTGCAGCTTTTGTCAGGGTTATTGCTGATTTGGCTTCTTTCTGCTTGCCTTGTGCCCGACCTGTTGATGCTGCTGCTGCTGATGCTTTTTCGTCTTTTTTCTGCAGGTGCCTGAAGGCCCTCTGCAAGCAGAACCCACGGCCGGAAGGTCTGGAGGCGGTCGCCTGGATAGGGAGATGGCTGGCGGCCGAAGTTGAAAGAGATAAACAGTCAAAGCAGGCGATTGCTGCCACAGCTCAGCTGGCCAGCAGTAAGCTCTGAGACCAGGGGCATAGGATTTGGGGTTTAGGGCTTTCCTTGAGGGTTTTAGGTCGCGACGTTCGGGGGGGACAGTTTCCGTAGCTTCATTTTTGGTCTCTGCATCCGCTGCTGCTACCGCCTCTGCCTTTTGGTTGCATAGGGGTGCGCCCAGGGGAGGATGGAAAGGCTGCAGCAGCGCAAGAGCAGCTGCAGCAACAACAGCAAGGCACCCTAGAGCTGCAGGAGACAATTCCGCGTCAGCGAAAGCTCCGAGTGGAGAACAGCACGAAGGGATTCCGCGTGGTTTTATTCGTGGGTGACGAGCAGCAGCTGCAGCAGCAGCAGCAGCAACAGCTGCAGCAGCAGCCAGGAACCGCTGTTATCCCCATCCTATCGGCGGGTACGATTTCAATTGAGTGCACTTTCTCAGGAGGTGACCGAGAAGCAATGCAAAGAGGTTTCCTGGAGCATGTATTGTTTGATCGTTTATCTCAACTGACATTCCTGTCTTTTAAATGGCCTAATCCGAGCATACTGGATATACGTTTGCTTAAGCTGCTGGGGTGTACTTACAGCTGGGATTCTTCGAGAGGCTGCGAGAAGCGAGGAACCCGCAAAGGCTCTGCGGTCTCTGCTGATATCCAAGCTATCTCAGCTCAGGAGCAGCAGCAGTAGCTGCGCCGGCAACAGCAGCACCGCCATTCTCTCAATAGAACAGGATCTGGGGAGCTCAGAATGGCAGCTTTTGACTGCGGCGCTCTCTGAAGTGCAGCCGCTAACTGTGATTCCTCAAGGTGCGATCCCCTATTCATTACACAGCAGCAGATTCACCGCGTGAAGCAACATCACCATGCCTGCTTGCTGTTGCTGCTTTCTGCAGGGGTTGCCGTCTCCGGTGGAGCGGCCGCTTCAGCCCTTGCAACTGCAAGGGCCACCGGACGGGTAGGGACTGGTTGGAGCTCAGCACTACTCCGTAGACACTAAGCAGAAAAAATTACTTGCTTCGTCCAGGCAGTTAGTTATCCCTTATTGGACAATTAAACAAGCAACAAGAAATTCCCTTTCGATAGGACCTAGAGCCAAGAGTATGGGATTTAGGGTTTGGGGTCTAGAGTTTGTTTTGGGTGCTCCACAGCTAATCAACCACTGCAGAAGCGCAGACACTTGTGCTGCTGTTGCTGCGGCTCTGCGGCCTTCCGTCGTGTTCGTTTTTGCCGACCCTGGACTGCCTCTGGAGCGGTTGCTGCAGCGTCTCTGCTGCTGCTTCGGTTTGGCCCACATTGATATGGAGAAGCTGTCTGCAGCAGCAGCGGCTCTTGCTGCTCCTGCAAGGAGTGGCGCTGCTGCTGCTGCTAAGCACAAGAATTCGCATGCTCCCATCCCAGCTGCTGTGACATGCCCTGCCTTGCTGGAAAAAATAGCGGCGCTGCAAGAAGAAGGCACGGGCGCAAAACCTAATACCTAAGCCATAAAGTCTAAACCCTAAACCCTAAACCTCAAAAACGTGGTCTTCATCTGATGTGAAAGTGGGTCGGTGCTAGTTAGAACGGGGAGGGTCAGGGCCCTTTATTGTTGTAGGACTGCCATGCGACTAGAAGTTTCGGTCGGGAGTTTACGGTTTGTTGCTCGTGGCTTTTATTCTGAGCCTCAGAGATTAGGGTTTGGGGTCCCGGGTTTTTCAGGATACTCGGGCTTTATGGTGTCCAACTTCCCACGCAGCACTCTGCAAATCGACTTCGTGCAAGAGATGGTGAGAGGCATTTCTACAGAAACATAGGAAAAGGTGTATGAGGGCCCACAAGTTGCCTCTGCGGCAAAGAAAATTTCTTCGCCTACGGGACGTTAACGCTCTGTTGGGGACCCTAAAAAGCCCTCATGGAGTGTTTGCAGTGGCTCCTGTGCGGGCCCTCTTTGCGCCCCTGAAAAAGGCTTTTCAGGCCTGTTTCCTGTTGGGAGGCCGTTGGGTGGTGCCTAAATTGGGGGCTAGGGTCCGCGTTCTGGTGTAGCCGCTAGGGCCCTTGTGGTTTGTTTATCTCAGCTGTTGTTGCTGGCAGTTGAGGGGGCAGACAGTTACGCGGCGTTTTTGTGTTGTTGTTGCTGGTGCTGGTGGTGCGCTTGTGTGCACTCAGCTGCAGTGCAGAGTGTCTGCTCTGGTATTGTCTTGCTCGAGCGGCTTCTGTAAACTGCTTCCCCTGGGCTGCTGCGAGGTGAACAGCATCTTGTGGCTCGAGCGCCGCAGGGCGGCCGACCGCCGGCCGGAGGCAGTGGAGGCGCTGGAGACTCTTCAGGCAAGAGAAGACCCCTCTCACCTCTGCAGTGCAACATCCCCACCTAATAAACGCCTTCCTCCCCCAGTGAAAAATATCTCAACCCCCACAGCAATAATAAGTGCCACACACTCTGAAAGGGGAGGATGAGTTCAATTGTTGATTTTTGCACTTTTTTACACAAGAGCTCAACAATACTTCTAGGAGTAAGTATATACGCACACATAATATATATATATATATATATATATATGCGTGCGTAGGTATACGCATCGGCATGGGTACGCCTATTTAACATGCTTACAAATAGGGAATTTTGCCCGTCCGGCACAAGTAGCGGGGCCGGAGAAGTAGCACGAGTAGAACCGCTTGCGCAGGCATCAGTACCAGCAATGACCTGTCACCATGCGTTGCTGCAGAATCGGGGCCTTCTCCACACCGCGGATTTGTCTTCCCTGAAACGAGAGGGCCTTGCAGCTGCCCCTGAAGTGTTGCAGCAGCTGCTGCAGCAGGCGGTAGCGAAGCAGTTGCAGGCTCGCGTATTGCTGCTGCACGGCCCGCCTCGAGCGACCGCAGCAGCCGCAGCAGCAGCGAAAGATGTGTTGCCGGCTGTCGTCGTTGCAGATGCAGAGGCGCTTCTCTGCCTGGAGCAGCAGCAGCAGCGCCAGCAGGAGGAACAGCAGGAATGGAGCAGCTGCCTCTACTGTGGCGATGTTGATGCAAGCTGCGAGTGTCTCAGTGACGTGAGCTTTTCGCACAGAAGCTGCTAAGAGGTGCAGCCGCAAGATGTTTTGTTCGTGGTTCGCAGCGTTCGCTGTCATCCCTGCCGCAGCGGCAGGGCCACCTCACCCGATTGCTGCAGCAGCCCCAAGGGGCGTACTTGTTACTGTCGTTACTAATACACCATAATTGCAGGAGAGTGTGTCTGTCTGCTGCTTGGATCTTGAGCGTCTGCACGGCTTGCTGCTGCATCTCTCCAGGCCGGGCTGCTGCTTTCCCGTGCACTCAACAAACTCGCCTGGCTGCGCGGCGCCCCCCTGTTGGCTGTGCGGCTCCCCCCTTCTCTTTTAGGAGTTGCTGCAGCCCAGAGGCTGGCAAAAAATTGCCGCGTGTGCAGCCTTCTGCATCTTCTCCCAGTCACAGGCAAGCCCTAAAACCTACACACTATACCCTAAACGTGAACCTGCGAACTCTCCGCTTCAACACACTGCATACATGCGAGGGAAAAGGACAGATTTTAGAAGCAAGCCTCTAAAAGTTAACGCTAAAGCGTCTGTTCTTAACGTCTCTAGTTCACAACGTTAGGCTTAGGGCCTATGGTTTCGGGCTTAGGGCTTATGGTTTATTCGGAGGGTTTGTCTCTGCAGCTGCTGACCAAATCCCCGAAGAAGAAGAGGGTCTTGGAGTAGTGGATGCGGAGCCCCCCAGTGCGGCTCTACTGCATTTTGCAGCAGAGGTATCTCAAGCACACAGCTAGATGCAGACTGATGCATGGCTAGCTATGGGCTGGCTTCTGGGTAGCTGCTAGTTGGCTGCTGGCTAGCCAGTAGCTGGTTGATAGGTGCGCCGTCTGCTAGATACCGGGTTGCCTGCAGCTAGGTAACTGCCAGCTAGCAGTTACTTCGCATTTGGCGAATTGCTAGCTAGCTGCCACATACTTGCGGAATGCCCCCTCGTGAGGCCTCTCAACCACCTCCTAGGCAGCATGCGGCAGGCCGTCAGCAGAGGCGGGAAGTAGAAGCGAGCTGTCTGTTCTGAGCTGGCAATGTGCTGGCAAGCTGCAGCTGTACCTTCTTTTGCTGCAGGGCAAGGCTAAACGCATTCTACTTGTGGGAGACGACGATCCCGTGCGGCTTCGGGAGGAGCTGTCGAGGTGATCAAATCGTTCCTTTCTTCTTATTGTTTCTGTCTCTGCGGCTGCTGCTGCTCCTTTAGCGGCAGCTGGTGCTGCTACTGCTCCTACTGCTGATGCCGGATCTCTTGCTGCTGCTTCAGCTGAACCTCAGCAATCAACTCTCCGCAATACGGGCTCGCTTGTGTCCCCCTTGATCCTATGGGTGCTTCTGCGAGACGGTGCCGGTCCGTCTCTGTCGTGGTTGCATGCATTACGTACGTTGTATGCAGGAAATGCAGCAGCTGGGCTCTTCTGGATCTGCATGTTTTTCTGGATTTGCTGCAGCATCTTGCGTTGTGAGGTGGCGGCGCTGGTCGCTCCCAAAGGCCTCGCCACTGTGGCTCTTGGAAAGGCTGTGGCCCACATGCTGGGCTTGAGACTCATCCCGGACTTTGGTATGCAGCAGCACCGCATGCGATCCCAGCAGCAGCTGCGGCGGCAGCACCAGCTACCGAATTAGCGAAAACCAGACGCAACAGTAGCTGCCATTGCTGCAGAGCGCGCCAGAACAATGCCTTCTGTTTCCTTGCTGCGCGCAAATACCATTGAATTGAATTTAGTGTGTTTGGTTCATCTGCAGAGCTATTCGTTAAGCAGCAAAGACAGCGGCAGCATGAACAGGGGTCCGCCGCAACGGAAACAGCAGGAACAACTAAACCAGCTAGAGGACTAGCTAAAGCGATACAGCAAGCCAATGGCAGACTAAGGGCTCCCGCAGTTGTTGCAGAGGCCCTCAGGGCCCTAAGGAGGCCTCAAAGCGAAGGGTTAGGTAATGGTGTGCTGCTGCTGGATATGCTCGACAGCGTTGAGCTCGTAAGCAACTTCCGCAGCTGCAGCAGCAGCAAGAGAAGCAGCAGCAGCAGCGAGGCACAGCAGCAGCACTTGGAGCAACCGCCCGGACTCCATGAGGACGTATCCAGGAGGGACTTTGCTGCTGCGTCGGCTTGAGCCGCGAAGTAAACTTTTGGGGCTTTTGGGTTTAAACTTCAGAGCTAGGGACTAGCGCTTGTTGAGCATGCTGCAGGCGGAGGAGCTAGAAAGCCGGCAGCTTCCTCTGACGCGCGTCATTATCCTGGAGGCTCCTCAAGAGGTAAAAGAGCCTAGCCCTGTGCAGAACTGCCTGCTCGACTGCAGCCACGACAGCTAACCGCGCCTAGCCAAAGCTAGCCACAGCTAGCCACAGCTCGCCACAACCGGCCCGGGTCCCCTTGCAATCCGCACCCTAAATGCTAAACCATAAGTTCCTCATACGGAAACATATACACAGAGATAGGCAGAGGCAAGAAAATACAGACAACGACGGAAGCCAGATATCGGAGTCCAAGGAGCTGCGCCGTAGGTTAAACCTGACGGTTAATGGTTTAGGGTTTTGCAATTGTGGCTCAGACGCTTGAGGCAGCAGCGGCAGAGAGCGGAGGAACAGAGGCTGAGGATGCCAATGACGAAGAGGGAAAGTCAAGGCTCGTGAGGGACAAGAAGATAAGAGGTCGGTACCTAAGGTTGACGGCAAAGGGTTTAGGGAGTAGGGTGTGGTTGTGCACACAAGGACGTTCATTCACAGCACGAGCGACTTTCAGTGCAGGAGCTTTAGGGGTGAGGTACCAGGGTTGATTAATTAGGGTTTTGGGTTTACGGTGTTGCACGCGGGAAACTACCCCGACGGTGCATCTTCTCAGATCAAATAGCAGCCATTTACAAAGACCGCTGCGTACGCATTCAACTGAGTGCTGCTGCTGCTGCTGCTGCTCTGGCGCCCCCACCTACGAGCAGTAGCGACGGAGACAATGAAGGCCCAACTCCTGCAGAATTAGCTGCAGCAGAAGCCAAAGCGGCAGCAGCAGCGGTACAAGAAATCGCCGCTGCTCTCATGAAGCCTGCGGCATTCATTCTGGCGGATGGCTTGCTGCAGCCCGAGGCAGCAGCAGCAGTCCGGCAGGGTCTTGTGCAGGGCCTCAGCAACAAACTTCTGGTCCTTGATAGAAAACATTTAGGTCAGCACGGTCCCTAGGCCCTCACCCTAAACCCTAAACCCCAACAAGGCCCTAGGTGTAAAGGCTTTGGGCCGAATTGCCTGCCCCTGCCTCGCTTTTACGATACCTCCAGGGATTAGGGTGTAGGGTTACGATTTTACTGTTTGGGGTTTGCTGGTGCTGTCTCTTTCTGCGCGTTGGGTTATAGAGCTGGTGGGGCGCTTCTCTCCTCCTTTTGCTAACTTGCATTCCTGCCTACGGTAGTGACAGTAACAGGGGCAGTATTTATCTGTGCCCCAAACCCTAAACCCCCAAACCCTATGCTGTAGGCCCGAGGGCGGCCTTGCTGGGTCGAGAGTTTACAACGGTGGGCGGCTTAGGGTTTGTAGCTTATGTGGGCCTCCTGGGCCCATTGGGGCCATCTGCGCTGTACATGCAGGGGTGCTCTCTGCCGCTTCCACTCTCACCAGCTTCTTCAGCGGGCTTCCGTGTGGTGCTCGCGGGATTTCCGGCTCCAGTAAGCCCTGCGTAACCGTTCTTGAACAAACACATTAGGCCCCAAACCCTAAACCTCAGACCCTAGGCATTCACTTCCAAGTGTACAGAACCCTCAGAGGCAGTAGCAAACCCTTCCTCCCTCTCCTTTTGCACGCTTAGTGGCCCGCTGGCGGACAGGCGGAACTCTACGCTCAAATCCGGCGACTCCGCCAACTCTGCGACATCCAAGGTAAAGCCACCAGAGAATACCCACTGTTTTCAGCTGACAATATGCCCCTAGAGTCCCACAGGGTCCGCAGGGGCCCTACGCCGGCCTTGGCGCCCAAGACCTGCCGCTCTTGGGCGTCTTGCAGACCTCTTCAGCAACTCACGGGACCTGGAAGACTCTACTGTGGGGGCACCCTTCCGCTGCACATTTGAGGCCAACATTGGAGGGGAACACAGCTGCATCCTCGTTCGTTGCTGCCCCCATTGCTGCTGCTGTTCAGGCATACTAATCATGCGCCCCCCAACAGCGTACACCGACCCCCAAGTGGTAAGCTCCGCTGCTATTTTGGTAACGTCTGAGACATTCCTGCCCAAATATGCGCTCGGCGGGATCCCCTCATGTTCTTCGGCTGCTCTGTGCTGCGCATCGGTCGCTGGGCCGCAGACCGCCGCTGCCGAGCTCGTCGCCGCCGCACAAATATGGAATATTAAAACTGCTGAACTCCAAATTGAGGTAGACAACGGCTTCCAGCGCTGCTGCTGCTGTTGCTACCACGGTCCCTGAGCCTGCCTTCGTGCTTGTGAATTTGGCGTTAGGAGGCTTCTTCGCCGTTTATTCAGTTCAGTCACGCTGTGCCTTATTTAGCACAGAAATCTTACGGTGCGCAATCATCCCACCGGGGCGCATGCATGCATAGAGCTTGCCTACCGTTTCTCCTGTGTCTTAGGAGGGCTGCACAGCCACGGAAATCTCCCCAAAGATCGGCCTGCTGCTGCAGCAGCTGCAGCAGCCACGCGAACTGTCGCCTCTCGAGGAGCTGCAGCTGAACCCGCCCGCTCCTGAGCCGCTGGAGAAAGAGGGCTCACAAAGTGAAGAGGAAGAAGAGGAGGCATAAATGCGTTCTTGCGGCAAGGCTTCCCCTCCGTAGCAATCTGAATGCATGCACTGAGCACGGGCTGACGGTTGCATGCAAAGCCAGTGCAGGCATCCCCAGAAAGCACCCCCGTACGATGCCCTAGCCGTGGAGCCACAGCCACGGCGGTGCGCTACTAACTGCGCACACCTCAAAGGCCCTCGAGCCCATGCTCTTTCTCTACAGAGGCCTGTACTACTGCATATGCTTCCGCCTTTGCTTGGCTTCACTTCAGCGCAGCAGTGAGTACGCACGCCGCACAGCTGCAGCAGGCATGTATGCATGCAATTGGCAGCCCTCCTATACTGAACATGGAGGCATGCTGAGGTGCCTGCATCTGTGGGGTGCTCCTACGCAAGCCATGGGCAAATACTCCACGCTGAGTCTCCAAAAAAGACAAACAGAAGAAAACTTGCGCATCTGCACTGGCACACAAACACGAGGCTCGCATACCTGGCTAGATGCGGTCAGAGACGTAGATAGCCATCCAAATATTGCTGGCTAGCCAGCACACAAATAGCTACAAAGTGCTTCCCACCTAACGCAGCGGGAGGCAGCCCCTCAGGTTATTTGTAATATCGTGCAAACTTCACATCACGGCCGCTGGATGAACTTATTTCTAATCTTAATGAATTGATGTTAGTTGCAGAATCACCGCACTTACTAATATTTTAAATACATCAGTGTGGATTTTTGGTAGTGCGTATTTTTGCTAGCTGTCCTGATGTTGAGCGAGAACAATGATCAGTGCCTCGGGCGATTAGCCCCCAGCGGCCAGATGAGTGTTAGCAGTACCAACAAAGACCTACGTTAAGAATAACACTAATATAAGTACAGTAGATTATATAGGTGTAAAGGTATAGGAAGGCATGAAATAACCAAGACACATGCTGCAGTTGTCGTGGCCTCGCGGGGGGCCCCTGCAAGCCTGTGCGCATGCGTGCTGCCTAGGGGGCCCTAGCTACTGCCTTCTGCCGCCGCTAGGGGGCCCGTGGAGTTGAGACAAACTTTTATTGGCACCCTAGGTAGTCAATGAGACAGGCAGACTGGCAAACAGTCCTCCGGCAACGCGCCACTCGAAGACAAGCAGCCCTAAGGGCAGCAGCGAACCTTCACTGCAAAACACAGCAGCAACTCTAATTCACGCATAAAGGCAACGGCGGCTGTAGGCAGACCGCACCGGCGGCAACAAGACATTCACGACAGCCTTAGGCCAGCGGAAGCAGAAACGCCACGCCTGTTGCAGCAGGATATTAGCAGCAGCTTCAGCAGCAGCGAGCTAGAGGTGGAAACACAGGGACAGCGGCGGCCGCAGCAATACAAAAGCTGTAACTGGGGGAGACACTGGCTGGGCAGCAGCGGCAGCGCGCCGGCAGTAGCTGCAGGCGCAGCACTCACAGCATAGCAGCAGCAGCAGCAGCAGCAGTGCTAGGATGGAGAAGTACCGGACGTTTGCAGATGAGGGAACCGGCTCTCAGCCTTTTGTGCCCACTTTCTACAGCCGGCAGCAGCTGCGGGGGTCCTCCAGCAGCTCACGTTTTCTGTTGTTTCTTAACTACTGCTGCTGCTTGCCGCTCTATCCTTTGTTGTTGTTGCTAGCGCTGCTTCGGCTGCTGCTTCTGGGGCTGTCACTTCTGCTGTCGGGTCTTTTGCTGCTATTGCTGCAGCCACTACGGCTGCTGCCGTATGTACACTGGAGGGCAAAGAGAACACTGCTGGAAGGGCCGCTGCGTCTTGCGCTATTTGCATTTGGATTTCAGTGTATTACTGAGGAGAGGGCAGGCGAGTGATTTCCCCTTCAGTTCACTGAGGCACATAGCGAATTCTCCCCCTGTTTTCCTCCTTTTTTGTCCCTTGCTGCTTTCGTTTTTGCCTTGTTTCTGTCTTCCGCGTTCCGCCTTCGCTTCGTTGTGCCCTACTTTGTCTCCTCCCGTCTATTCCCTTCTGTCTGTGGCTCCCTTAGTCTCTTTATTTCTCCGTCCTTTTCTATTTTTATTTGTCTCTTCCTGGTCTAGTCTGTATCCTTCTGCATATACCTGCCGCTTTCTGTCTGTCTCTTCGTTGCGCGTTTTGCTTTGTTCTTGCCTCTTTTTGTCTCGCTCTGCCTTCGGCCCTATCCTAGGCCTGAGCCGCCCATACACTTTGCTGTCGCTGATGCAGATTACCGCCGCCTACAGCTTCCCCCTCCAGCACTGAATTCCAGGGCTCTCTTTTCTTCTTTTCTGTCTCTCTTGTCTAACGGGCCCGTTGCTCCGGGGGCCCCCATAGGCTTCCCAGGGGGCCCCTCAAGAGCCACCCTTTGTATTTCAAACTTCACTTGTTTCGTTGAGCCGCTGTATCTGCAGATGCGGTTGTGCCCTCTCTTTTTGGGCCTGCATGCGGACGGCTCTCTCTCTGTTTTGCCTTTCTGGGGGGCCATCAAGTACTCGCTTTCCTTCGAGGTGTGTATTTGCTGCTGCTTCTGCTGTTGGATTCTGCTGCTGGCGTCACTTTAATGCTTTTGTGCACCTTGCCGCCATTGCTGCAGTGGGGAACAGACGAAACACTGCTGCCTGCACTTGCGGCTCTTGGTGCTGCAGCTCGTGGTGCTGCTGTAGCAGCCGCTGCAGTGTTTTGCTCCCCCGCTGTCGTTGTTGGTTCAGCTACTTATGTAACTGGAGTGCGTGTGCGTGCTGCTGCAGCTTCTGCCGGGTCGGGGGAAGTTCCATTCTTTGTCTGCCCTTCTGCTGTCTCTTGAGAACAGCCGCAGCTTCATTCCTCCCCTTGTGCTCTTTCCCGAGGGCCAGAAGAGCAACGGGAGCTGCTTGCTGCAGTGGGACGCCAGGGGATTAGACGCTGCAGCTTTTGCACGACTGAAGAGCAGAGTGGCCTTACTGGGGTGTATGCACACCCCAGACCAAGGCAACACACAGGCAGCAGCAACAGCACGGACGGGATGGAGAAGACCGACGTACACTGCGCCTCACACGGTATCAGATGCATTCACCGTTGCTGCTGCTGTTGCTGCAACACCATAGGCTCTTGTTGCTGCTGTAGGCGTTGCTGATGCTATAGTATAATGGAGTCACCCCAGAACGTTTAGCAGGTGCAGCCCAAGTGTAGCTTCTCCACAGTAAAGTAGCTCACCATCTTGGGTGCATGAGGATTTACGGTTTAGGGTTTAGGGTTTTGTGCTGGCAGGTTAACAGCCCTTTATGGCACTTGTTGCTGCTGCTGTTGCAGCCTAGACAGCACCTGCGCTGCATTTGGGTTCCGCCCGAGGACGTGTTGACCTCCCAACAACAGCAGCAACGGCAGCATCAGCAGCTTTTGCAAAAGCAACAACAGCAGCTGCTGCTGCCGCAGCAGTCATTGCTGCTGCAGCAGCAGCAGCAGCAGCAAGGAGACTTGACGTGTATACGCACCACCTTGCTGCGAGCTGTCCCCGGACTCGTGTCTGTGAAGAAGAGCGGAAGAGACCTGAAGGCATTCAGTGACTATTGGAATGAGCAGCAGCAGAAAGGGCGCAGTACAAAGAGAGCATGACCACCGCAGGGTGCTCCAGGAGCAACGCAGATGCGGCATAACTACGGCAGCTGCAAGCCGCAGCAACAGCAGTGCTAAGAGCGGCAGCAACTACGCGTGCTGTGTGTACCACATTAGACAGCACGGCCTCAACACAAAAAGCGAGTTGCCGCCCGCCTAGGTGGGTTTGTTTGGAGCCCTGTGGCTCTCAATACAAACAGCACACTGCTGCAGCTGCTGCTGCAGTAGCTGCAGCCTAGCTGCTGCAGACAGCTGCTGTAGTATCTCCAGCCGAATGCTGCTGCAGCAAGAGCCAACTTCAGGCGTCGCAACAGCAACAAACTGCCACTGCTGCGCCTGTCTTATGGTCTGAGGCTCCGTTCAGTCCTTGAAGAGGCACCGCAAGTGGAGCCGTTAAGTGGGTTTAAGGGGCTGGGGGTATACAGGGCCCTCCTAGAGGTGCCCTTCACAGTTAGAGATCTAAGGTGTATGCCAATGCCGTATGAGGGTATAGGGTTCCGGCTTTCATTCCCCTTTCTTTGGCGCTGCCGTTTCACACGCTTCAAATGCTGCCTTAAGCTTGTCGTAGGTCTCTGCAGCAGAAAAGATGACAGACAATTAGAACTCCAAACCGTAAACCCTAGTCAGGACTACAGGCGTTGGCCCTGCATGCAGCCCCATGGCTCATGGTGCGGGCGGAGGTGAATCCACCCAGTTCTTTTTACAGGGTCTCTTGGCTAACTCCTGCATGCCGACCTACCCAGCTGGCAAGCTAAGTAGCTGGCAGGTTAGCTGGCTAGCTAGCTAGCTGGGCAGCCGCCACTTACGCCTCGACACGACAGTGCCTTGCTTGTAGATTGCTTCCTTGAAGTGTATTTGGTTCTTGTTTTGCAGCTGAGTCCTGTAGGGCTCTTTGACGCACCTGCAGCAAAACACGCACGCGCGAACATACCCAAAACCCCCGCTCAAACCCTAAACCGCATCGAAGACGCAGAACCCTTAAATCAGGGCTCAGCTCTGGACCGCTAGGAATCAAAACCTCCCAGAGGCGCATGCAGCAGCAGAACCTACTGATGCAGCTACTGCTGCTGCAGCTGATTCTGCTGATGCAGCTGCTCATTGTGCTGCAGCTGCTTCTGCTGCACCAGCTGCGCCTGCTGCTGCAGCTGCCACTGCAGCTCCTGCTACTGCATCTTCCCCTGCTACTGCAGCTATTCCTGTTGCTGCAGCTGCTCCTGCAGCTGAAGCTGCTTCTGCTGCTGCAACTGCCGCTGCTCCTGCAGCTGTTGCTGCAGTTGCTACTGCCACTGCTTCTGCCGGTGCAACTGCTCCTGCTGCAGCTGCTGCTGCAGCCTCACCACCAGGTAATCGAATCTTTGGCCTGGCATTCGCACGACCGTACAGATCTGGCGTTGGCGAGTTGAAGTTGCAAATTACCCACCAAGTTTATCACAGAACAACTGCACCTCCTCAAGGCTCTAATGAACCCGGATAGTAGGAGGGTCCCTGGCGAACCCCAAACACTCGAGGTTCCCCCCATGGCCGCAGAGAGCCTGAAGGGCGTGTCCAACAACCCTCTGGGGACCCTAACGGCCCCCAGCGGTCCCAGAACGGATGTATGCGTGTGCATGTGTTTGCGCGCGGTGTGTGCGTGTGTGCGCGTATGTGCGTGAGGGGCTCACTTCCTTAGTAGCTCCGCCATTTCGGCGGCGTATCGGACATAGCTGATGCCGCAGGCCCTCCAGGCCATTTTGGATATATGTAGAGGTGAGTTTAAGTGTACTGATAGACCGGAAAGGGGCGTTTGTTAACTAAAAGTGGCATTAACAAACACAACTTCTGAGCCCCTCGTGACAGAGGTGTGTTTGGGGGCCCACCCGGTGGGGCTGTGCAGGAGACCCGTCAAGAGCATGCAGAGCTGTCTTTCTTGGGGAGTGGTTTTGCTTTTGCATGCATTTCCCTTTTTCATTCTTGTTCATACCGAGTCCTTGCAAACAAAAGAACAGATATAGGCAACCACAGGGCATCGTCCAGACCTCTCGGGGGGCCCTAAGCCCTCCTGATTTCCCCATGCCCATCGCTGCGGCCCCAGCGCTCCGTCTAAGTTTGTTTCCCTTTATTCTCTCATTGTAGGTTTAGCTTTAATTTTGGCGCTTGCATGCGATCCTGTGCTTACTTGCGTGCTGAAGCGGCGGCAGCTAGGACAGCAGTAAAACCCGCGGTACTCGCCATTGCAACAGTAACAGCAACAGCAGCAGCTGCAGGGGCCATAGGAAAGGGCAGCTGCTGGACGCCACTTTAAATCTTGCACACTCTCTCTGGACAGCGCAAGAATAAGGGGGACTGGGGTTTCCCGTGTCCTCCGGCCTGAGCCCCCTGCTCCGCGCTGAGGGCTAATGGCCCTTAACAGCAGCAGCAGAAGCGACTACAGCAGCAGGAGGCAAGATGTCGGACCGTAGGGGAGGGCGCAGAGGGGTAAGCGTTAGTTTCGCTTCGGGGTGTATGTACCGGTGGCTGTGGGTTAAGTTAGAGTATTTTGGGGGGCTTTGGTGTTTCGGGTCTGGCTCACAGGGAGCAGGGGAGCCTGAGACGGCTCGCGTGTATCAAGAGTTCCTCAAGACCTTCCAGCCGGAAGACCCTTCTGCGGACAAGACTTTCATCAGGGGTGACCTCCTCACGTGCTTGCCGGGGTTTAGGGCGTTCGGTGTTGGGGTTCTGCTTCGGGCTGCTGGCGCAGGGTCTCATGCTTATGGTATAGTGGTTATAGGTTAGGGTTTACAGGGAAGGGTTCGGCAGAAGGGGGTTGGGGCTTAAATTTATCAGGATGAAGCTTCGAGTTTGGTGCTTCTCCGCCGCAGGGGGCGTGATGAACGCGGGGTCCGGTCAGATTGCCGTTGATAGTAAGAAGGTAGGCCTTAGGGTTTATGGATAGGGGTTTAGGGTTCATAGCGGCATCGTCTCTGGCTATATCTGGATGTGATATGGGGGGCCTTACTTTGCGGACTGGGGGCTACAAAAGGGCTCGCATGACTCTGTCGCGTCCTTACGCGACTCCACTCTGTTGCGACTGCTCCTTCTCTGGAATTAGGGTTCTTTGTGGGTGCCGAGTAGCGCCCCTAAATCGGCTGAGGCAGCTGCAGCAGCGGCAGCGGCTGCGGCTGCGGCTGCTGCAGCAGCAGGCAGTGGCAGCAGCAGCGCCCAGTCCCCAGCTCCCAAACGCATGCCAGGACGCCCTGGACAAAAGCGGGAGATAGATTCATTTCTCGAAGGTCGGTTTGGGGTTTTAGGGTTTAGAGTCAGGGTTTATGGTGTAGCATATGGTGGCTTAGGGTTTAGTCCAGCGTCCTGCACTCATCCGTTTGCTGAGCACGTTTGGGGTTTAGGGTTGTGTGCTGCGTTTTTTCAGAAATTAAAAAGCGTCAAGAACTACAAGGGCAGAAACGACGACTCTATGAGAGGCTAAACCTCTCGCGTACAGGTGATTGGCGGTTGTTTCTGTTGGTGCGGCTGCTGTGTGTTGCTGCTGGCGCCGCTGCTGCTGCTGCTAGCGCCGTTGCTGCCGCTGCTAGTGCTGTCGCTGCTGCTGCTAGTGACGTTGTTACTGTGTTTGTTGGTGCTGCAACTGCCTCCGCCGTCTGTCGCTGCTGCTGCTAGTGACGTTACTATTTTTGTTGCTGCTGCAACCGCCTCCGCCGTTTGCTTTCCGTGCATAGAGGAAGAACGATGCGCCCTCCGTTTCCAAATAGCAGCGCTCGAGGTAACTAATAGCGCATAGACTATCGGTGTCCTGTTGCTGTTAGTGCAACTGCTGAATCCCCTACACTTTGGTTTCTGACTAAGGCTTTAAGCGTAGGGCTATAAGATCTTGGCCCACCTACATACTCTGGGGATTGCCCTTCATTTGTTCTTCTGCAGGAAGTGAAGGGCCAAAATGCTAGGGTGTGATGTTTGTGGCTGCAGAACGCGACGAGGCCACGTGGGGCCCCGCCGATCGACTTGGAGAAGGAGAGCTCAACGAATTTGTACTTGGGGAATTTATCGCCTGAGGTGCCTGTACACTGCAGAGACTGTAGAGCAGTGGGATACCCAAGAAGAGGCTAGGGGAGATAAGCAGTTTCCTCATGATCACAGCAGTCATCAAGTAGAAGTAGAGATTACTATATGCGTCGAAAGGGCTGTGGGTGAGGGGTTGTGGATAGTGGGCGATCGAGGGGGCATTTTTAGGGTTTAGGACACCCCCGTGCATCCGTCCTTTTTTTATAGGGTCGAGGGCTGCAGCTGTGCGTACGCGCACGCATGTATTCAGATAACGGAGGAGTTTCTCTGCCAGCAGTTCGGGAAGCACGGGGTCATTACCAGTGTTAAGATTATGTATCCCCGAACAGAGGAAGAGAAGCGCCGAAACAGGAACTGCGGATTTGTTTCCTTTGAAACCAGGCCCCAGGCTGGTAAGCCCTAAACCCTAAGCGTCTAAGCGCAGTCCCGAATCTCGAAACCACATTTTAAAACAGCCTTCCTAGCGTTGTAAGTCTGAGAACTTTTGAGGTTCGTGCACCTTCCATGCTTCACGTTCGTTAGGACTGTCTGAGGGACGCTTAGTTGCATGCGCCAACAAACATTTGTGTGAACACGTTTTTTGCTTACCAATTAATACTGCCTCATCTTTCGTTGCTTTCTCGTATCCGCAGAGTCCGCTAAGAACAGCCTGGACGGGAAGTCTTTCTATGGAATGGTCATCCGCATTGGGTAAGCACTTGGGAGCCACTCTGGGGACTTGGAGGGTTTTCTTGGTGGATTAGGGTTAGAGGCTAACGGCAAGAGTTTGAGGCTTTCCTGCTGCGCTCGCAGATGGGGGAAGGCTCTACGACCCTCTTTCGGCGCCACTCCCAGTGCCCTAAGCAGCGGATTCTGTGAGCGAAGGCTTGAACAGTGGTTTGGAGCTTAGGATTTAGGTTTCTGAGCGATTGGTGGTTCTGGCGTTACTCTATTCGGCTTCATTCATGCAGTTATTCTGGCTGTTGCTGTCGCTGCATCTCAGCGGATTCTCCCTTCCCATCCACGGGATTCTCGCCGCCTCCCGCAACTAACTTCTCCGCGGAGGCTCCAACGGCAACTCCAACGCCTCCCCCTCCTCCTGTAAGCTTCGAGCCGGCTTAACCTGCCTGCAGCTGTGCAAATGCGTGTATATGGAAGATGCTCGTGCAGACATACGTACGCTACAGATGTGCCTTCGGCTTTTCATTCCAAAGCCTCTACTGCCCTACGCCTTAGACCGGAGCCATTTTGTTTTGTGCTCGCAGGAAGCGGAGTTGGTGGAAGTGCAGGTGCCTAAAGACCGTAAGGTCAAGATGATGATCGACTTGCTGGCGAAATACGTAGCTGAGGTCAGGTGGTGCTGCTCCCGTTGCTGTTGCTTTTGCTGCTGGTGCTGCCGCTTCTGCTGCATCTTTGTGGCCTTTTGTGCTGCTTTTTTCTACAGTTTTGCTGATGCTGCACAAACCAGGGCCAAAGGACTGGTGCTGTTTTCCCTGTTGGTTGCTGCTGCAGGAAGGGCACGTCTTTGAGCAGCAGGTCATGGAGAAGTTTCCTCCAGAAAGTGGTGGGGGTTAGATTTTACGGCTAGAGGATTAATTTGCCGTCGCTTTGCTTTGGCGTTGAGTTGCGCGTGACTCATGTGGGTTCTAGGGCTTGGGCTGTAGGATTTAGAATTTGGGTGTGGGGCTATACGTGTGTGCGCAGGCCGTCTCAGCTTTATCTACGAAAAGGATTCGCCAGACAACATTTACTACAGGTCCGTTTTCTTTGCCTTCCTATTTGGACACTAATGGCAACTCCCGAAGCATACCATGGTTTTTGCCTTCGCAGCCACCAAGTCGCGCAGGCGGCAGCATGCGCGCGCAAGTTGTATTCTCTACATGAGGGCTGGTGTTTGCGTGCATTTGGACACGGTGAAATCATCCCACCTACGGTTTTCTCACTCTCTCTGTTTTTCTGCTTCTCATGAGTTTTTGGCAAGCGTTGCTTGTGGCTAAACTCGTTTTGCCGCTGTACGGCCGCCGGGTTTACGTCTGTAGGTGGCGAGTGTACGCCTTCGGTCAGGGAGACACTTTAAAAGCTTGGCGTCTAGAGCCTTTCTATATCTACTCGGGCGGCAGGCGTTGGGCACCTCCACCTGAGAAATACTTCCAACAGCCGTAAGCTATTCGTTTGCTGCTGTTGCTGCTGCAGCCACAGGCACTGCCAAGCAACAGCTTTTCAACTAGACATCTCGACTTGAATTTATGCGGATCTCAATGTATGTATTCATTGGCATTTTGTTGTTGCGTCATTCAGGGCTAAAAAGAAGGCAGAGGCAGCAGAAGAACGGAGCCTGTGAGCCGCAACCAGAGGGTGCTCGGGCTGCTGCTGTTGGTGCTGCTGCTGGTCTCCGCCGGAGCTGATGCTTTTGGCTGCTGCTTCTCCTCGTTTCTTGTGTTTTATATTGCTGCCTTGCTGCGCTGCTTCTGCCGCCCTAGCTCAGCTGAGCAGGCCTTGGTTTTGTTGGATGGCTGCTGCTGTTGCTGCCGGTGCTGTTTGCGCATGAATGGCACTTGAGTGGATATTGTGCATTGGTGCGGCTGTTTTGCGCAGCCGGACAGCTGCTCGCGGGGGCGAACGGCTGAGTGCAGCAGACCGCGAGGAGCTGGAGGAGTTACTACGCAACATAACTCGGGATAGGTAGGGTCTTGTGAGCCTGTGTCTTTTTCCTGTTGCTGGCTTTCGATTTGGTCTGTTCACCGCATGTCTCCGTGCTGTGAGTGGAAATTGTGTCTCAAGTAGTCTTCGTTTGTGTTGGCAACGGTGTGCTGCGGCAGCGGCAGTAGGTGTGAGATGAGGCCGGTGGGGCTGTGCCAATGTTTGTCGCTCTGGGGCAGGGCATCGATATGCGCGGCAATGTCCTTTTGCATGTCTCACGGGAGCAGCAGCGCGGAAGTCTGCAGCTGTTTGACGGAGTCGCTAACGTTGCCGGATACGGCCCTGACAATGCGGTTGGCGCGCATGTACCTCTTGTCGGATTTGCTGGCCAACTCCAGTGCACAGACGGCGCATGCATGGACCTACAGGCATCATTTGGAGAAGCACTTGCCCTTCATCGCAGATCGCTGGAGCAAAGGTACTCCGTCTCCGAAATGGGCACAAAATTCCCTATATGCAGAGTAGCGCGCAGCACCAGGAGCAGCAAATCTGTTTAGACACGGTGGAGACTCTGCTGTTGCTGCTGCTGGCGTTGAATTATTGCCGCAGTGTTAGAAGACCTTCGTTTGGGCGTTGGTGTTGGAGGAGCTAGCCCGCGGACCCAACAAGAGCAGTGGCAGGGCGTCGAGAGGGCACTTTACAAGATGACGAAATTGTGGGAGGCATGGGGTGTATATCCGCCTGCGTTTCTTCGGGTCAGCCTGCCGTTCGCTTGGTGCATGATGCATGCTGTTTTCCTTTCGCTGCTTCCCTCCCTTCACTGTATTCTTATATTGCTGTTGTTCCTAGCTTTGCTGCTGTTGCTGGAGCACATCGCCAGCAGTTTCGTGTGATGCTGCTGTGTGGCCTTAGGGCATCGAGGCCACACTTTGCGGCCGCGACATTACAGCAACAATTCTGGATCCCGAAGCAGCAGCAGCAGCAGCAGCGAAATGTGAGGCTGCTGCACTCGAGCTGGCAGACCCTCAGCTGGACGGAGAGCCTTTGGCGGAAAACCTCAGGCCCCTCATTGCACAGTTCCCGCTTTGGCTGCGACCTGCAGCAATGGTAGGGGGATTTTTTTTGCAGCTGCTGCTACTACTGTGGTGCTACCCGCAGTTACGTTTAGTCTAGGTAGTCCTGCAACACGACGAAAGATTGGGGATTGATGCCGCTTGCTGATTAGGAGCGACACGAAGACGTTGCTTCTTCTACCTTGTTTGCTTGCAGGAATGGCTGCTGCTTGACCGGTACCAGCTAGACAGGCTCTGCCAGCAGCGGGGACTAGGCGTGTTGCCTTCGCGCAGCAGCAGCAGCAGCAGCAGCGAAAGACGACAGAAGCAGCTTGTGCAGCTGGCGCGACAGGAGCTATACTGGAGACTAAAACAAGAGGTAGTGCTGCTCTTGCTGCCGCTCGGCCCTGCTGCCGGTACCTTTTTGTTCTGTTTTTGTGTTCCGAACAGCTTGCGTCTCTTCATGTCCCCGTCGTTACCATGATTCAGGCAGCAGAAGTGCCGCTCGACGTGCTTCTGGAGGCGCAGGCTGCGGCTGCAGCAGAACGTCAAGCAGCAGCTGCGGCTGCAGCTGCGGCGAACCCGCAGGAGGTAGCATTGGTGAGTGAAGCTCCGGAGGGGTCCATCGGTGCACAGGAGGGAGGCGCGAAGCAACCGGGCGACGAGCAGCAGCAGCATGACGACGTAGCAAGCGAGGCCTCAGATATTTTTGTTTTCGAAAGGGAGGAAGAGGAGCAAGCGCAGCAACACCAGGAGGAAAACGAAGGCGCAGCAGCATCAGAAGCAACAGCAGCAGCTGAGTCACAGGAGGCCCGGGAGTCTGATAGAGAGCGCATGCGGGCCATAGAGCTGAAGGTCACCGAGTTGCAGGTTCAGCTAGAGGACCAGAGTAAGGCTGCAACGCTGGCCAGTCAGTGCCAGGCAACTTATTTGCCTAGGTTGCCCCATAGCTAGTTAGCTAGCAGCGCGGCTAGCTCATTGGATTGTGTGTGCCGAACACGCAAAGCGATGAGGGGGAACTCGAGGCAGACGCGCAGGGCTGAAGCAAAGGGCGAATTTTGGGTTCGATGCTCTTCAGGTATTTCCAAGGAAGAAATCGCCAGCCGTTGCGACGCTCTCAGGCAAAAGCTCCTTGAGGTTAGAAGCTGGGTAACGCGTTTTGCATTGTCTTCTATACCCGTAGCACACGCCAGTCGGCGGCACCGAGCATAAACAGTTGCTGTAGAAACGGGCTGCCTGCACGGCAGCAAGTAACTGACGCTCCATGTGGAGCTGCGCAGAGAGGCGGTTTATGATAGTGTGCCCTTTTCCTTTTGTGCAGGAGCATAAGACCACAGAAGAGTCGGCCAAGCGAAAAATGGTGAAGAGCCGTGACCGAAGCAGCTCCCCCCAGAGCAGTCGCAAGAAAACGTGAGTCTATAGTGGCATGTGCTGCGTAGTGTTATTGCGAGCGCTTTGTCATTACGCTTTCTTTTTAGTGTGATTATTAGTAGGAATTCCCTGCTATCAAGACTAGAGTGCGGGTGAGGGCGCAGTCAGCTCCTCCTGCGGCTATGGCAAAAGCAGCAGTACTGCGAGAAGCCACAATATTTTAATATGCCACTCTACGCGTTTAGGGGCAAAGGAAAACGAACGCAACACGCAGGATGTATCTGATTGCTTCATCTTTGGCCTCAAAGCTCGAGGTTTGCTTTAGGGCTGCCTGTGCTGCGCTCTTGGATGCGTGCAGGAAGAGCAATTACAGCGAAAGCTCGAACGCTCATTAGCAACAACGCATACCCTGATATTTATTGGTTTTAATCTGACTTGCATACTGTCTCCAGGGAAATGCGAAAGAGCAGCACAAACCGCTTTTGTTTTCATGTATGGCTGCTGCAACGTGCAGCGGGGAGTTGCGGGTTCATTCAGCTTGAAGGACAATAATCGCGTTTTGTCTTCCTGTCTATTCTTTTTGGTTTCATCATATCTGTGTTGCCGAATAAAACAGGCACGTGCTGCCCCCTCGCTCGCAACGCTGCTCTGCAGGGGCATTGGGCCGTAGTTGTTAGTAGTTGTTTGTCGCACAGCTTATCAGCCAGACTCGACGAGACAGCCCCATTGTAGCCCGCTCATCAGTCGTAGACAGCACTTCGTCTCCTTACCTGGCGCTTCAGCTGGCACATGTCCCTCATTGGTGCATGTGGCCCCGAAAGTTTCAAACGCTGTCGGGTCAAGAAGGTTCTGCACCCCTAGAGCTGGGATGCTGCTTTTCGTGTTGTCTTCTTGTAGTTCGCTGCCTACTCAGCAATAAAGGCAGGGCCTAGGCAGGCGAAGTTGAGCAACTCCCAGCACCATAAATGGCACTGTGTATGCAAGATAAACCTGTTGTTATGTTCCGTCGCTCCCCAGAACATATTGGACAACTGTCCCCGCTGTTGGTCGCTTTACGTGCCCCGCGGATAAAGTCTGTCTTTTTCCTTCCTATTCGGCAGAGGGCCGGCCGCGTGGCATTGGAGTCTTTGTATTTGGTTGCCTCAGCAACGTCAAAGCGGTTGCGCGCATTCCCCTGACTGGCATCTCGCCCAGGCGCCGTCCTGCCTCCGGCGCCTTGAACAGGCAGGAAATGAGCAGTGCTGGGCCTTATACATCTGTACCTAGCGTCCAGTGCGCCTGAAAAAGCACCTCGAGGCGCTGAAAAATAATAGCTTGAACTCTCTTCCTGGTGGATGGAAGCACTCCACTTTGGATATCAACTGGATTGTCTCTTCAGCATAATATTCGTGCATTTACCAATATAAAAAGACGATGTTCGGAGGAACACCTACCTACAGGCGCATTGCGCACAGATAGGTCCGCTCGGCTTCGCTGGTCTTTTTTCAGCCGGCATTTACCTCTTAAATAATGTGCGGACAACTTAGCTCTTAAATAGGCAGACAGGCAAGGCCTCCTGGGCTGCCTAGTTAGGCCTCAGTGGCCAGATACTGTGAGTGAGAAACGGAGAGGCATCAGAGGTCAGGCAGGACGAAGAGTAGAGTATGCATCGGCAGTTTCTTGCAGCTCCTCCAGGGCCATTTGCAGCTCCTTAACCCCTACGCCAAATTCCTCGTAGTGATGCACGAATGCCCCAGCGTGCAGCATGTCCATGCCCAGCTGCAGAGCGCTGCACTCACAGGCCGCACGCAGGGCATCTCCGCTGCTCCACCTTGCAGCGATCCCACATCAATAGGGACTAGGCTATGGTCCTCCTTTGCTGATCGTGGTTTGGTCTTTTTCACCTCCTCAGCGCTGGCAAGGGTGTGCTGCAGCTTGTGGTCAGACCCACGCTGCAAGGCTCCCCGTGGGCAGCAAAGGGATGTGCAGAGATCTGCATCAACAAGCAAGTGCGAGCTGGGGACAGTGGTATTTTGAAGGAAAAGGCGAAGGCAGTTAGTCTGAAAAGCTTAATGAAAGTGGCTTCCTTACCTGAACAGGACTTAATGCGTACGGCCATAAGGAAATTTTGCTGGCCGGTGTGGGGTCGCCTTCGATGGAAAGGACTGATGGCCCCCTCATGCAGACTTGCGCCCCTACAGCAACGGTTTGGTGAATGTCCTCTGTTGCGTTCCCGTGTTCAGGACTATCCCTACTGTTCTGCTGTGTGGCAGCATAGTGGGCTTTTCGGTAGCCGGAAGGTGTTGAGGGGCTGGGAGGGGCCAAAAGGTCCAAAGTATCTGCTCTGACGAACATGCGCTCTAGTCGGCGCATCAAGGATTCGAATGTGTACGGCGCAAGTCGGAGGCTATTTGACTCCCCCATTAAACCCTGGGGAAGGTACCGACACGTCAGCAGCTTGAAGGCTGGATGCGGTGCTGCAGCCGCCAGCACGTCCCACAAGGGGCAGCGCAGCGCCATAGTTGCATCTCCATCCAGTTGCTCTGTAGTAGGCCAGTGAGCGTTTCGGTGCGTTTTAAGCCTGCTTGACTGCCCAGATGAATCCCGGGAAGGGCTCTTGTTTCTTGGGTCCCATGGGGAGGAAGGAAGAAGGCAGCAGCCCAGAAGGTCTCGTGCAATGCAGCGATTGATTTCAGAAAGGTTTGCTGCCGTTGGTGAAAAGCTTGAGCTTGATTGCCTTTGCAAGATCTTGGAACAACGGGCGTTTTCAAAAATGAAGATACCGTCACTGCGAGCCTCAAGCACCACAACGTCTTGCTTGCGAGGCACAACATCAGCAGCAATGACACGTCACAGGAAAGGCAAAAGCATCAGTCACGTGGCTACTCGCTTGCTTCCACAACCGGCGAAAATCCCACTGGATAGGAACGAAGTACCTGCTTTTTTGAAGAGAAGCAAGCGAAAGAACAGTATTGAAAGCTTGAGTCGATACCTCTGCGTCGAAGGGCCATACGCAACAGCTAGCAATGCAACTCTCCGGCAGTAAGTCAGTGCATAACTCCGTCAGGTACGAGCCAACCCCCGAGCCGGTCCCTCCTAAGAGCAAGGTACACCACAGAAGCAGGCAGCCTGCCCGTAGCTGCGGGAGGCTGCCAAACCACGGCCCACCACCACGAAGCCTAGAAGCACTCTAGAGAAGCACTCTAGCATTTAGCGTCTGCCCTGAGCGGTACTATATACTGAGGGCATGCGAGCCGCTGGATCGAAGAGCTGGGTGTTTGCCGCTCACCTGCCAAAGAGTGGAGCACCATTACGGAGCTGACGCTGTCTCCTTCCTCGGCAAGGCTGAGAAGAAGGCGTTCCATGTTGTCACGGTTAGATGGACCCTGAATTTCGTGGCCAAGAGCCCAGTTGTTGCCGCAGCCACCTTGCTGCCAGTATGCAAATTTCGGGTCCCAAAACCAGTCTCCCTCTTTTTGGCAGGTGCCAAACTTGGGAATGGCTCCCCCCACGTAGCAGTTTCCTTTTCCCCTCCGGTTGTTTGGCAAGGGATGACGCAGGAGACAGTTTTGAACTGTTTTAGCTTCCATGTCGACAAGGAGGCCTCGGGCCTTCAGAAAGCTCCCGTACACTGACGGAGTGTCGCTTGTGAAGAACCGCCGACTCAAAGAATCGACAATGGTGTTGTCGCCCACGGACGCAGCTCTCTGCAGCTCAGTATGAAGGGCAGCAAACAACTCGCTTCCAAGATAGTTGCCGCATCCGCCCACCATCAACACGAGAGTACTCATTTTCGGTGTTAGTGCGGGCGCATGCTGTGGTACTCCGCAGGCCACTGGGGTGAACCAAATATCAGCAGCTCCCACTCGCTTGATCCTCAGCACAGGCTCTTAACAATTAGTGCAAAGAGTTGTGGTTGCCCCCTGTGTTGTTGATGTAGGGTACTTGTGCCCTTGTCCGGGGGAGTCGCTGGGTGCTCTGCCAGTCGTGCCCATGTGAATGAACCTTGGCAGGAGAGTGAAGTACCCCTAGCCTCACGCTTCACGCTAGATACGGTGCCCTCAACGTTTTGCGCATTTGCTGCCTTTCCAGAGTTTTGGAGCTCCAAGTAGTGAGCAATCGAGTCAAGAAGCACCAGCAGCATGCCGTTCCTGCGGATATTTTTCCAAAAGAAGGGGCGTTACGACACAAGCGCATGTTTTTGAGCAAGCGAGAAACTGTACGCAGGGTATTATAAACGTCTGACCCTCAACCGCAACTGGCCCGGCGTGCATAGGCAGGAACCGAGACAGTGGTGAGCGAGCTCTTAGGCTGCTATATCCAGGCAGGGGGCTTCCAGAAATTGTCAAGTGGCAGCGCAAATGAAGAACGGAATTTCAACGCTTAAATCGGCTCGAAGCATTGAAAGTCGCAACTCGGCTGCTCATCTGTAGCAGGGGGCTGCACCTACGTGCGTTGCCGAGACACGCTTTGCGTCTACCCCACACCCTAATGTGCTCAACGTCTTTCTCCTATTAGGCAAAGTGAGTATCCTTACAAAATACGTCTTTCCGGGAGCCTTTGTACTGATGTACTCTTGGGAAGACGTCCAAGATCATGCGAACATTTTTGTTGTGCAGCACCGCGAGGTGACCCGAGGGGGTTGGATCTAAATAGGGGCGAAACGCAGTTAAAGTTCAACAAAAACCCACCAGTGCTAGTTTTGTAAAAATATCTTTGCTTAACTCACCTTATTTGTTGCAGCCTAAGAAAGATCTTCGGTTAGTTTGTGTACGCACTAAGACTGTTCATTAGCACAATCACACCGTGAATGTGTTTCAGTAGGGTGCGACGCTAAACCTAATACGGATATAAATCCCGAAGGTAAGCAGGCCCAACGGGCATCACGGGCTATGGAGCGGATCCCAATGACAGGCATGACTCGCGTATTTTCTTCGCAGGGATGTTTGCACTGCTAGGAGACCAACAAGATTGCAATATCGCCGAATGAAAAAGCTGTGTGAATAAGCAAGACAGGAATAAGGCCGGTGAGGAAGGCCCCTTCGGTACCGTTGAACGTAATCCGTATTAGAACGTTGCAGTTCACTGCACTGACAGCGCGGTGAGCTGAAGGCTGCAGTGTGTCCTTTCAGGATAAAAATAGCTCTGCCAGCCTCAAAGTCCTGCTGCGATATTCTATTGTTTATTCATGACATGCTTATTGACTGCTGCTTTTCTGCTTTTGGTCGACCCCCTGCCTTTTGAACGGGCGCCCCCCTACTTGAGTGCGTCTCTGAACTCTTCGATTCGTCGGCAGCTTTTGAGACCTGGAAGAACTGACGCCTCGATTTGTTGTTGTTTGATTTGGTTTGCCCTTACTCTTTGCTCTTTGGCGACCCACAGATTCCAAAACGGCTTGCCTCTGCCGTCGCCACGCTTGGGAACTCTTCTTCCGCTGTTCTTCCATAGTTTTCACTGCTAGCCGCACCTTCCCTCTTAACTGTTGTTCTTCGAGAGTTACTTTTCTAAATCGACGCTTCCATGCAGCTTCTAATTTGGCGAGATGTGGCCAGACGCATTGACAGTAAGTAACTTTGCATGCATCGATGAACACGAACCATACTAGACCCCACAAAATCGTAATTCCTGCGTGCCCCCATGAAATGCCGACCATTCTTGGCCCCGAAGAAATCATCCACTCGTACTTCCAATACACCGAAAGGAACAGTGTTAAGAGGACCGCGAATATTTGCGGTATTAGGACAATTATGGATGGAGCGCGGTTTTCAGGGCCGTATATTAACGCAAAGTGATGGGTCCGACAGCTGTGGAAACTGATTTGGATGCATAGAGTAAATAAAAGCCACACTCCAGAGGCGGTTTGAAAGCTCTCTGGCATTTTACCTAATGTAACAAGATCGCCAGATTCGAACCTTTCCAGGCCAAAGGCATCCCACCAATTCACGCCGTACTTTGGGTCGGACAGGAATATGTATAGCAACATACACACAGCCATGAGCGTTGCCGTCAGCAGTGCGATCGTCGAAACCTGAAGCATTGACCAGATAAGCGGTTTGCTGGATGATGGAACGTTATCTCGGGAGCAGCTCATAAGCACGAAATCATTGATGATTGCAACAAGAACAAGCACCCACGTAGGATACTCATAGTCAAAAATCACGACGCAACCCCACCAGAACAACAGGGTCATAAAACTGCCGTGGATACGAAAGGTTATATAGGCCTCGATGCGCTTAAAGATTTGCCTTGACAGGCTGAAGACTGTAATGATGCTGGATAAACCCGGCTCCAGCAGAATGATGTCGGCAGCAGCGCGCGCGGCTTCCGTTGCACCACTGACCGCTATCCCTACAGTTGCTCGCTTCAGCGCAGGGGCGTCATTGACTCCATCACCTGTCATGGCCACTAGACAGCCCCCTTGCTGAAGGTTGTCAACGATTTCGAACTTATGTTCTGGATACACTCCGGAAAAGCCATCTACAGTGCTAATATACTCGCGAAACGCTATGTCGCTTTCGAGGCCTTTTGGTCTTGACCTGAATATCTCAGGCCCAGATATATTGTCTCCGAGACCTAGCAGCCTGGCCGTTTCTGCCGCAATCGCCTGCTGGTCTCCCGTGAGCATCTTTACGCTGACTCCCATGCCTTTCGAGCGCTCTAGTGTATCCTTGGTGTCAGGTCTTGGCGGATCTAAGAGACTCAGAAAGCCGACCAACTTCCATGTAATTCTGCTGCAAGTTTCTGACGCCTCGTCAAGTTTCGTGATAGCATTGTCATCAAGTGGCTTAATAGCGACACCCAGCGTACGCAGTCCTCTTCTGGCTTTTTCCTCAATTACTGCTTTGAGGCGTTGCTGGGTTGCTGTGTCATCTGCTGCACAGACCAGTTCGCTGATGACATGAGGAGCGCCTTTTGTTACCAATATGACTTCACCATTTTTCGAACGCACTATGCTGTCAGCACGCTTGTCCACCGGGTTGAATGGTGTATAATCCAGCACTTCAAACTTCTGGCGCTCCTCCATATCTACAGCAGCGTTGATGGCACTGTCAAGAGCGTCGGGATCTGTTGTAGTTGCTGCAAGGGAGGCATAGACCAGTACCTGATCGGCGGTGAAGCCGGTCTCTGCACAAATCTCGTCGTGAAACAAGCTTAACACGTTGAGAGTGAGTGTTCCAGTCTTGTCTGTGCACAGAATTTCAACCCCAGCGGCTTCCTCTATGGCGGAGAGCCTCGATACAACCGCGTGTTCTTTGCTCATGGCTACTGCCCCAACAGCGAGTACCGTTGTGGTGACAACGGGCATGGCGGCAGGAATAACAGCAGCTATCAAGGTGAATGCGCGTTTGAAGAGTATGCCGACGTTAACGTTGCCGTTGCTGCTCTCTATCCACACTGGGTGGAATCTCTCCCACAGGATCAGAAACACGGCAAAGCCCACAGCCGTCCATGTCAGCACCTTTGCAGCAGCATCGAGAATTGTGCGCAAATGACCTTTTGATTCTGCGCGAGCAAGAAGCGCGATAGTTTTGCCGTAGAACGACTCAACCCCTGTTCTTTGGATTAGCATCGCCCCTTCTCCGCGTTGCACGACAGAGCCACTAAGCAGTTCGGAGCCTCTGTATTTCTTGATCGGCAGTGATTCTCCAGTAAGTGCAGATTCATCCACGCAAATGAACTTTTGGTGAGGGATGAAAACGCCGTCTGCCGGAACTACCATCCCTGCCTTAAGCCAAACGACGTCGCCTGGCACCAAGTCAACAACATTGACAGGAACATACAATCCGTCACGCTTGGCGTTGCATTCCACGGCAGCTAGCTTCTCAACGGCGCTGATTGCATCAGATGCTGATCTTTCACCCAGGTAATCTGCCCAAACCATCACGTTACAAAGGAATAGGAGCAAGGCAAACGACAACCAATCTCTACTTCCTTCAACTTCGACACAAACCGACAAAAGTGAAGCTACCAATAGCAAGATTGGTGTCACGCGCAAGTAGCGCTGCAGGACCTTCTGCCACTCGGGAATCTGCAAGCAGGAAACCATGTCAAAAAGCGCAGCAGCTCAAGCGGAAGTACCAGTTGGTAAAATGCACCATTTGACAGTCCGTAAAATCAACTGTACCGTTGAGAAGTCAAGTGTCGCTCGAGTGGACAGCCTGAGGCGATGGCGGGCTGGTCAGTGGGGCAAGAAGACTTCAGGGTACCGTGGAAGAAAAGCGGTGCTCGGCACCTTATGTGAAACGCAGTTATGCGCTACACTATTTTATGGGGTATAGTGAGGCACGCTGGTTATACGGGCTTTGCTGGGACTCGAATAACTTCGTAGTGCTTCACCTGTTTGGGCTTGACCGCATTTGGCCCGAAGACCGCAAGAAGCTCTTCGGCACGAGCAGTTGTGAGCCCTGCATCACTAATCTCCTCAGAAACATCTCCACGGTTGACGCATATGACTGCGTCTTGGGCATGCCCACTAGTAGGCAAAGGATGCTGTGGGTGTAGCCCCTCTTGAGGTGCCTGCTGCTCAGAAAGTGGAGGACTCAGCTTTTTCGGTCCCTCGGGCTGTCCCTCTATGTCGCGCTGTTGTTCGTTAGCTACATCTCCACTATCCAGTGTTTCGTTTGCTGCATCTACACTAGCTAGCTGCCCATTTGCTGCATCCCCGGCCTCAACTGAGGCTTGGCGATTGGGTTCTTCCATTCGGTCTGCACTAATCGACAGTTCCGTTCGGTCACTACTGAGCTGCAAGGCTAGATCCTATGTAGTCGTTAGGCCAAAGTTGAATGAAGCAGGCAATACTCCGTTGGAAGTCCTGGGAGACCTGGTGCCTTCGCCCGTTTTTGAATTGGAAGTAGAGCGACCTTAAGAAAAAACGCAATATAAAGGCCATAGATGCTTCTTTTTGCCCACTTTTGCTATCATTGGCTAGAAGAGATACTTTCATTGGGAGTGGGCTGCAAGTTACCCAACACCCACGGCTGCCATAGGTTCTATGGCGATGCTCTGCAGGTAGGCCCCCAGCCGTCCGTTCGATGATATGCATCAAGCACCTCACCAGTGTGAGGAGAGTGGTGGCTTGCAAAACAAAAACGATGATGTACTCTTAAGGATGCATTTGCCTAAAGCTCCTTGGTTTCAACTTGCATAACTTGCCCTTCTGGATGGGCGAGCAGTGCGCACCGGGGCTGGGAGGTCGGGCTTTGATACGGATGAAGAGGTTCCGTAGACCACCGGCCTGGCCGGTGAAACAGTGCAGCAAATCGACCCGTAAAACGGGATTAAGCTCATTTCCATTGTGCACCTCGGTCAACTGTACGCAAAGGCCCCAGTGTTATACTCCTTGTTCCCCCAAGTGACCTCATTGATCACTGCACAAAACGGAGGCCATCCGATGAAGTCGCAAATTGGAGATCTTAAAAATCTCATACTGGAGCACTAGATGCTGTCTCAGCCGTACTTCTGCATAACGACAAGCAGATGAATTCCCACGCTGCCCCGTTTTCTGCTGCCGTAGCCCAAAGGGGAATGCAGGTGGTAGAAAGAGAATCAGTTTGTGGCAGAGCTGTCCTCAAAGAAACATGCACGATTCTAACCTTCTAAGCTCTCACGTTCAAGTGAATTACTACTCTGCTGTGCATTTCTGTGATCATTTTTCGCCTCGTGCACTACGTTGCTGAAGGTGTAAAGCTAGGCGCTACAACGTTTTGCTGATATTGCCGTCTACTCTACTGTGGGCTCGTTTGGCACACATAAAGGGCTCTTGAAACCACAGGCCTTACTGAAAAAGAAGACAAAGTCCAAATATTCACGAGCAGCAAGGGTTGCATCTCTTTTCATATGGAGAACGTGCTTCCGTTCTAAGGAACTACACAAGGGCTACGTTGCCAGTAAATATTCTAGCTGAGACTAGCGATCTACTCCTCTCACAAAGAGCTGCCAAATCGATCGTGGAGCAAAGCTCCTCGACGCAGCAAGCTTTCGAACTTCGTCAGACTTTTCGCCAAGGCAAGCACCAGTGGTTATTAAGACACCAAACTTTTCCACGAGTGAAACTTTTACACTGCATGTAACGTTCAGTTGGCTACAACAGCTGCTGCCTTCTGCTGTTTGGTGCTGCAGCGAAGTGCTTGTGAGTGAGTTCCAAGCGCAAAGGTTTAAGGCATCCACCTGCTAAGTATAGCACCCAACGAGGGAAGGCGGAAAGCCATATTTTTAGCCGAAGTTATCTTTTCCACAGCCGAAGCAGGGGGTGCCGTGGTGGTTGAGGTGCTGCGCAGTGCCTGAACCTTTTTCTGGAGCCAGTACTTCTCTGAATCAACTAGACGCACTGGAAGGGTTTCAGTTGGAGCAGCCGAACGGGTAGCCGGTACTGCAGCATCTGAGTCGTGGATGCAGTACACCGTCATCGGGTCGATTATCGTAGTGTTCTCTCTCGATTTGTCGTACTCAGCCTGCCTGTTGTTATATCGAAGAGGGCGCGGCTGCTCTACCTGCAGCTTTCCTTCGAGCGACAGGCTCTTCAGTTCCTCAAGGAATTCAACGAGAACGGTACGTAATGGATCGAAATATTGACTATTTACTAGTCGGCTGTCCATTCCTTCGTCGGGCGGAGCATCCAAAGGAATCTCACGAAGGCGCTTCCTTGCATTGTCCCAACCAGGCATCTGGCACATGGCAGAATAAGCGCCCGCAGCGAAAACATTCGACAATTCGCCAGTGAAGGCTCAGTATCTGCTTGCCTCTACCCTACTGTTCTTGTTCGTCATGCGGTGATGGCTTTCTAGCCATGAGCACGGAAAGCGTGAATGCATGCCCACCCACACCCTAAAGGGGATGGCAGTTCCCAATGCAGGGCATCGATTGCTAGGGCATGAAATGCATTTTCTACGGCTTTCACCTTGTACTTCCCGGGAAAAAAGTCGAATGGACCGATAGTGCTATTAGTTGGAAAAGCATCGTCAGCTCCTTCAGGGTCTGCCCGGCAATAACCTTTGAGTGAAGTGGCGGAAAGCACACGTGGAGTTTCCTGCTGCGGAGCCATGTTCTGAACGATCCCCGTTATCCTGTCTAAATCACTTCCCGCATTAAAAACCTGACGAGCGTACGCACGCTTGGTTTCATGCTAATGTCTAAATTGGCAGTGCTCCTAAGAGCTGTCCAAGGCGCAGGTCAGGCGCGATCTACTGCCTGGAATGACGCGTGCTACAAATTATTGCCAACCTCTTTCTTGGTTTCCAGGGCGCGAATGATGCTATCGACGGCGGCCAGACGCCGTTTTCCAACATACTAAAATACAACAACGCAACCCTCGTGCGCTGTCATAAACAACTGTGCAAATTCTAACCACTCTCAGCCTAGGCAGATCCCACCGGACGGTGAGCTCAACAGCTAGCCCAAAGCGTATTCTTCGTGCTTCATTACGCTCATCGTAAGGATATTGGTACTGCGACGGCACTTACTCGAAAGTTTTTGGTCCTGACTTGATAAAATTTGTGGTCGTTAACGTCTGTGTCATACTCATCCATCCATTCCGTACCGACAGAGCTGTCAAAGAGAACGAAACCCAGGGCAATGTCGGACTGAGCAAGTACAAACCAGAGCTTCATTTAACATGTCGGCCAAAAGATGTGAATTTCGAGGACTCTTTGTAGTGTGCGCGTCTCAGAGCTGACGGTTTTCTGTTCTTGCGCGTCATCAAGCCCCGCAGATACTCAGGAATGCAAGCCGCACCATAAGAAAGGGGAGAAAATACTTGCGAGTAACGAAGTTGCTGTGGGACACTACAACGGTCCTAGCCAAAGAAACACCCAAGCATGACTCCAGCGCGTGTTTGAGGAAATTTGACGCACTCCAGAAGCCTCCCCCCTCGTCCTCCACCTGTGTTGTATTTCCGTGACCAGGTGGTGTAATCGCAATGGCATCAAAGTCATGCTCATACGCCACTGATATTTGCGAAGCAAACAGGTAGAGCACACAAATGTTTGAGTCGTTTAAGGCAGAGCTTATGTTTCCTTGAAAGCGTTGTCCCCCAAGCATGTAGCGCTCGAGGCGAATCTACGGAATTAAGGAGGCAGCACAGGCAGTCGTTGCAGTGGCAAGGACTTACAATCCAGTAACCCCATGATTTCCCAGGTATTTGCTCTGGAAAGGCCAATGAAGGCAACAGTGCCGAAGACTTCTTCATTTAATACATGTGTTTCTGCAACGAAACCCCAACTATTCAATGTGGATATTCCAACGCATTTGCGGAACCAGGGATAGCATTCGATTGGGCAATACAGCGATGCTGCTAGCGTGAAGGCAGAACCAAACCTTTTTGGCTCCCTTAGGTCCGAATCTACAATGTGGCAGCGCAGCCTCACTACTGGAATGCTCGACCTTCACGCTGATGCCGAAAGGCCCACAGGCGGTAGTTGTAAAAATATTGTACGGATTCGACCACATCGCTGAGCCATTCTCCAATTCTTGTCCAGGTGAAATTAGTCCGTCTGGCATGTTGGCCTCGATTGCTGCGTCACAAATGAGTGGTCCCACTGCCCAAGATTTTCATAAAGCCTCAACTTGCCAGTGCTTGCATATGGAACATCTGCTGTTTTGCATATCCTACTTAGCTTTACATTAGCCAAGGGGAAAGTGTCAACGTCTGCATACTGACCTTTCAGCTCCTGAGCAAGGACAAGAGCAAGGCCGAGAAGAATCAAGGCCACAACCAAAGTAAAGAGAGAGCAGCTCAACCATGCAAGCTGCAGATAGTGTTACACAACAGGTGCATTATTTTGTGTGGCCACCACCTAGCCCCGACGGCAATTTAATGGCAAGCAAGGGCCACTATTCTAAATGTGCATAGCTGGCACTACGTTGTCAGCTTCTTCGCGTTGCAGTTTTGTATTCTGTTGGGCTGGCTTGCTTATTCGTTACCACTTTCACCACCCTCTGTCTCCTTTTCACGGAGCACAAGCTCATGATTACGCCTGCGCAGACACCAACGAATCCGCAAAAGCGTACTGACGGCAGACAGAATGCATTGCTCATGCTGCAAGGAGAGCAGTTTCCATACAAATCTCGGCAGATGCAGGACATGCAATGGCTTGCGCGGAGGAGTCCCTCAGCGCTTGCTAATTCCCACTGCAGCAAACCCTGATCGATATAATCAATGAGCCAAGGAATTCACTGAAGTCGCTCAGCTACCACGACTCGCACAAATCAAGAGCTAGTTCAGGGCAAATTGTAGCGTAGAGTTAGGGGCTGACGAGCTTTGGGCTTCATGAGGTCTCCAAGTATGCTGCTAGAAAGATTCTGCTTATGTTTCTGTGGAGTTGTCTGTAACGTTCAACGACTAACCGATAAACAGAGGCATCCCCAGAGGGCAGAATATCAGGGCCCACCGGATGCTGAGTTAAAACACGGAATATTCGGCAGGCATCTGCTGTACAAAATGTCCCACTGTCCCAACCGCAAATAGATAGCAGTCCGTCTACATTCTTGTCGCCACCGGGTGGTGTACGTGGGCTAACGCTTTCTCATCTTTTTTCATGTCACCCCTCCACGGGCATCGGCAAAAAATGTTCTTGCATGTAAGCGGCACTTCCGGTTCTTCTGGAGCCTCTTGGGGCAGGTCATCGTCTCGCGCAGCGAACGCTGCCATGACCTCATCTAGCTCATGATTGTTCTCTGGGTCATTGGCCATAAGCCACTCGAGATCAGGAATTTTGGCATCTTCGCGTCCAAGTTGCTTCTGAATCATGGCAATTTGCTCTTGCATTAGCTGGTAGCGTTGGGCCACCGCCAAATCACGCATAGCCTGCTGTTCCTCATCTAACTGCTGCAGAAGTCGTTCCATTTCAGCATCTTCTTCCTGCTCCACCACGCGCTGATACTGGGCATGGTATGGTACAGAGCTAATGTTATCGAATTCGATGGAGCTTGGCGCCCTCCTTACTGGGCAAACTAGTGCAGAAACAGCCGATGACGAGTCGTCGGAGGCATCAGAAGAACCTCGGCTCATGTGAATTGCTATTTCTGGCAACTGTGCAGCTTCTACGTCGGCATCTTCTACGTCCCACATCTTACTGTCCCGTGCCAGCCGCCTAGCTCGGAGCTGCTCGAGAAGCGTGAGCGGTCCAGGAGATTCCTCTTCATCCTGAACATCTGACACATTTTCCTGTGCCATTTGAGTGAAGTTAGCTTTGGCATTCGACTCAGAGGCTGGATTTCCCAAGTCGCTTGCTGCCAGAAGTGAAGAGGGCGGATCGGACTCGCGGATGCCAATCCGGGAGCCCAATGATCCATCATCGCCTCCTACTGATGTTGGCTCGTCGGATCCTTCCATTAGGGAAAGCTTGCTTGCCTGTCGTGCGGCTACCAATATGAGCTCGTTTGATGCGGGGAGCGTCCGCTTCGGCAATTTACTGCAGCGAGCCTGCAGCTGCTTAGGGATATTACACACGAGCCATACCTTTTCTACAAAAAGGAGCCAAAAATGCTCGAATCAACCGTTCCTCACGCACAAAATTGACGGTCTCCACCACAGACGTCCGCGCTTCCTACTCAAAATGCGCTAACCATGCGGGAGTCGCCTTCTATGCGCCAGCGCACCACCAATACGAAAGCCCTTAGGCATGCTTTAAGCATGGGGGAGGCAAAAGCTCTCCACTGAAACCTCCACAACCCATTGCTGCTCTAGCTCGCAGCTTGGCATTTCGGTCGGCAAGCGCCTCCGCGGAAAAGGCGGCTTGCTGCTCATTAAGGACATATGCCTACTAACAAATAATTTAGTGGCTACAGATAGTAAAGGCCTTCAGCTGTGCCTTCGCCTCACTCTCCGGATGCGGTGCGGCAGGATACGTGGTGCCCCCGGTGACCCTGTTGCCAGTGTTAGTTCATTACTAGTTGAATTCCAGGGTCCAATGATGATTTCAGTGAATGAAAATCGTAAAGAGCCTATGCTGAAGATGACACGACTACCTGTAAATGAAGGGAGGGGAGGAAAACGAGAACAAAACATATTTTGTTTCGAGCAATGTTCCAGGGGCGTTTGTCGCAGTGAGCGCGCGAGGGAGTTGCCGTGGTGCCCTCGATAGAAAGTAGACAGAAGAAATTTCCACCATTCCCACGTTCAAGTACCTGGCATAGATACCAGAATAGGTGAACTAAGCTGATGCGTACTCTCAGCGACTCTTCCCGCCGATGCGCCTTGGTGATCCAGCTGCATGCAGGCAGTTCTGGCAAGCGCGGCACCAGAGAGAATTTTGGGTCCGGACATCAATGATTTCGATTCTCAGTGGATAGCACGCGTTCGCGACGTTTTTTTACAAGCATAGTAAGTCGCGTGGATATGCATGCTACCTTGTCTTTGAGCCTCGTGCCGCGGAGTCATACAGGCTCCTTGGTTTGCTGTTAAAGAAGCAACTAGTACAATGCTTCCGAGGCATAATTAGCAATGCAGCTGGATTACGACCCCGTTCCGCTGCATTTATGGCTTATTTAGCTGCAGATATGTCAGCCGGACTCATGACAGACTACTTTTTTCGCGCCCTTCAATCTGCATACCGTATGGAAGTTTGTGAGGAAGTGTTCTGTTTCAAGGCATTGTTTCCAGGGAGAGAGTGCTGTATGCTGGGTTACTACGTTGTCAGACCAGAATTTTGCTGTGAGGTTGTAATGCAGCACTTCATGCGCGGATTGGTTTTGCTGCACTTCCACCAAGCAAGCATCCCGCTTCCCAGCTGGATACGCCCGAGTTGGTGGATGCGTCAGACTTTTTGACGCAGGCTGGATATCTTAGAATGGACGTAAGAGCAGGCCGTAATGCCTGACATTTCTGCTTGGTTTTACAGTATGGGGTGAGGGGCAAATCCGGGTCCTACAACTTCGGGGGAGAAGACTGAAGGGTCGACTCTTTTTTCAATTGTCCTAGCGGAAACGGTGGTTTACACTGCATTTTTTTCTCTACTGGAGTGAGGCGGCGAAGGGGAGGTGAAGTAGCGAGGTTCGACTGGACATAGGCATACACGAGAGGGTACTGAAAAGTGTGATAGAATTGGCCTTCGTTTATTTGATCCGAGCGTCAGGTCGAAGAATTGCTAGGTCTACTAGCCTTGGGAGGATGCAGAATAACCGGCCCCAGCACCTTAGCCCCCCCTGAACGTGAACGTCTGCATGAGTTATCTCAGATAGTGTTTCCAGCTTCCGCAGGGTCCAATACTCTTGCCTATTGTGTTCGCCCAGGAGCGGGGCCGGTTGCAGTTCACATCAACTTAAACGTTGGGGCTTATTAATGCTCCATCCTCACCGTAGTGCTGCGTGTGCCATATGGCTGGGTCTGCTGCTTCACTGTCCTCCTCGTCAGGGTACGGTGAGACGCCATCCCCAATTTTTGGGCATGCTTCTTTTTTCACTTCCGTCTCTAACACCTTACTGGCACTGTACTAATCCTACCAATGGCTAATGTGGTCGTCTGGCGTGTGGCTTGTCGCATTGTACGTAAAGGAAATCGGATTCTCCAGAGGGCGCCGTTGAGTCATTCTCAAACTTTTGGCTGGCTGCTTTGCCGTATGTTTTGACATCTCCTACGGTCTTTGCCCCTCATTCTCTTTCACAATACTGTCAGCTGGAAGTTTACTTTCAATTCCTTTCTGTTTCCACTTGATTCTTCAGGATGGCATTAATTCGCGTATTTTGGTGCTATAGCAGTAGCATCATATACGGCTTGCGCGTGCACTAGTGGGTTTCAAGCTTGCAATAGGTGCTTGCAAACTTTGAACACGTCAGTGGCATCTATCCCCTGCATTTATTGCCCAGTTATAATCTGCAATTATTTTGGGAGTTTATACGCTTCTCGCACCGGTCTCATCCAGTGGGGCCTGTGCCAAGCATCAATGCAACGCCAGGCAAGCCACTAGTTTCTGGCCGGAGAAATGCAATCCGTCTCTTGAATATATCCGAACGCTTGATGCCCTTTGGGAAGTCGCTGTAGATATGGCTGCATGATGGGCCGCACTGTTTAGCTTGCGTGTGCTCTTCTTCCCTCTCGCCTGCGGCGGCTAAGCACAACAAGTGTACAAATACAGAATTTTGGTTGGAAAAAGTTATGTGGAGAGGGAAGAGGAAAAGCATAACCAGTTCGTGGGGCATGGGATGGTGCTGCACGGAACTGGTAGTAAGCGTCGTAGCTCCGCAAGAGGCGGGACAGCAAGGGTTTTCGTGGTAGTATGTAGATGATTTCGACCCTGTATATGGTGCCATCTCGGCCTGCACGATTTACAGCTGAGGTGCTCCCTCTGAAGAGAGCTCCTAGATATAACAGTTGGCATACAAGACAGCACCCACGGAGGAGCTGCAGCATTACGTGGCTACATGTAAGAGGCTTACAACGGCTGGAGCAATCCAGTGAGCTACACGCACTTCTCATGATCAAGCTTAAACGTCAGATTATCTGCGGCGGCAGTTCGCCAAATGCTCTTATTTACCGCCGTACTACGGCCATCACTCTCGTTTCCACGGAGGCGTAATATCAACTTGCTTGAAACTTCGGTGGGGAACGCATCGCAGAAAAGGCGCAGCCCCTGTAAGGCGCTGCTAGTTATATGCGGCCTGCGACCACTTTGTTCGAAGAATGGGATACCTTTGAACAGAGCTTCCATGGGTGCGTGGAAAGATGAGAGAAATGTAATGGCATGAGCTTGTTAGGGAACGTGCTTTTGCGACTACGCAAAAGCGCGCTCTCTAACCAACCCATGCAAGCAAGGTGAAACTTGCCCCACCTTCAATCGGGTCTGCCATGGCAGTAGTATGCAACAGCTAATATTTCAATTTCGTAGTCTGCTAGGTTTCAGTTTGTAACTGGCTGTCCAGCAGCCGTGAGTATGCCCAAGCCGCCAAGGGGTTTCCGTAGGCAAGATCACTGTAGTAGCGCATTTGGCGTTCCCCTCTCACGAATCAGGTGGCTGGCCGCACGCTAGTATGGGGTTTTGCCTGAATCTTATCCTTGGGTAGTTAGCGGCTGCCCGAGTCGCTGCGGCAGCTGAAAGCAAGAGGTAAGCCGCCTTAATGTCACGAGTTGCTTGAGCATGCAGCTCTCCAGCTTACAAAATCAACGCGCACGCCCTTAAGGGACACGCGCATATTCATTTTGGTTCGTGAAATGGGATCGACACTCTCAAACCACGCCAGGCGCCTCGAGCAGCTGGAGAGGCACGATGCGAAGTGCCTGAGTGCTGTGCAACCATGGCTAGATCTGGCCAACTGGAGAAGGCCATGGTTCTCTAGGCGTGCTGGTTGCACTGGGGCAGTCTTCTCCTGTCTATCTCAATTAACGACAAAGGCAAATAAGCTGACAACAGCCGACCGGACATCTTGTGCGTCCGATCGCGTTGACAAACTCTGCGTAAGAAACTTTGCTGTCTCCGTTCTTGTCGTAACGGTTGACCAGCGCATTGAGCTCAGCCTCTGAGGGGCAAAACCCATGAGCCCTTAGGGAAGCTGAGAACTCGGCAGCCGTAATGTACCCGTCTCCATTCCTACGGAAGAACCCGAAGCAAATACAGTGGTGGGCACACAACTTCATGTGAGCACCAACATCATTTCTTGTGGGTTGATTTCACTTTACGATGCCTGCTTACTTGTCAAGGTCACGGAATGCCGCTGAAAGATCTTTCAAGCAGAGGCGATGCCTCGACAGCTCGGCCTGCTCTTCAGACTGAGCCGCAAAAAAAGTAGGCTGATGTGTTTTTTGAGGATACAGAGCACAGAACTTTTGCAGAGGTTACCGTCGGTTCCGGCGTTGGTCACTTAGGTGGGACATATGTTGTGCCAGGAATCTGCGCACTGTATGATTAAAGCTTAAGCATGATACTAGTATCTTTCTACACTAACGATGCGGCACGGTGGAGAGGCGCCCTTACCGCAAGAGTGAGGTCGAAAATAGCGGCAACGATTTCGAGCGTTTCAGGGGCCAAGTGCGTGAGAGGCGCCGGGCATTTGTGACTCCCATTGCTAGTACGGTTAATCATGGCTTCGGCATACCTCGCCTTCGTTGGGAGAAACGCCTTCGCCATGTCGGCATATCTCAAGCGTGGTTCCGAATCACTGTTCAGCTTACCAGCAAAAAGACGTGCTTGCGTGAGGGAGATGTTCAGTCCAACAGCATTGAAGGCGTTTTGCACGTGCACAGCTGTTGCATATCCCCTTCCTTCAGTGTCAAAAAGCCCCCAGAACTGCAATAGATTGAAATCGGATTTCAGTGCTAACTTTTCCCTTAAACACTCCAATCTCCTCTCAGTATCAATCTGTGAGTTCAGCACCCCTGCCACTTCGCATTCGCTTGCCACAAAGCGGATGCTTCTTTTCGCGCTGGCAGCACCGTACAGCAATAGGCTGTCGTCGCTCTCTGTTGAACTACAGCTTCTAGTCCAGCAGCTCCTTAGCGTGTCGCTACACGAACAACCTCTGCGGGGCTGTACCACCTGCCGGCGGGGCAAATTGCTGCTGGAGCTGATGCTGCGCAGCGCACTGCATTTTGGGAGACTCGCCAGCCTGCTGCGGCTGAAAGCGGCAGAGTGTGAGGAGCCGTCGGTCGATGAAGTCTCCAGAGAGCAAGAGCAAAGCTGAGGTCCCTGTAAAACCCGCACGAGGCGTCCTAGTAGACCTACTACAACCGAATGCAAGTGATTATGTAGTAGTGTGAATACTGCATGTGGGAACTTCGAAAGTATCAACTGAAGCAGCTGTAGCTAAAAAAACCAGCTCAACAGTGAGAACCAGCAGCTCCGTCCTAACGGGTAGATGCCGAAGAAACGGAGTACTTCTAAAAGTTTTTTCATGCAAGACTGCGTACTGCAACCAGTGTGTCGGAACAGCTTCGGGATGAAGGATAGTTGGAAGGCATCACAGCCTCTACGAACTCAAGGTACTTGAGCCTACCGTCACTGTCTCTGCAACGTACAGACAAAATCATCTGACTTGTGAATATTACGTCCTACAAAGCTCAACTTTCAGCGCGAGCACTATCGCATTGTGCTGGGTAGTTGAAGGCAGCACACTTTCTACATAACTACTGTCCTCACGGGTACTATGGACAACAACCAGGTTTGGTGCATAGGGAGCCATAGAAAAGGCGAAGGCAGATGAAGCAAAGCAGAAATCAGGAGACAGCTGAGAGACCTATCAAATCGACGGAAGATGAGCTTTTGTTCCATGTGTGTCAAGGCAAATCCTTCCTCTGCAAGTGTTTCTGCCAGGGAGAGGGGAGTGACTGCAGCGATGGTTGGGTCTTCAACAAATTGGAAGGCGGCGAGTAGCATAAAATCTGGGCAGGCAGCAAGGATTCGCCTCCGGACCTCCAATGCGCGATGAGCATCTACCTCACGCTGGAGAAGGTGGGCAACGCAGGCGTCGCCTCCGCTGCAGATATAGGAACGCTCCTTCTTGTCAGTGCAACAGCAGCAGCAGCAATAACACGTGACAGCGGTACGGTTGGGAAGCTGCAAGAATCGCTGGTCACGGGAGAGTAAGAGCTCCCTGTCCGATGGATCCGCGGGTAATAGAAAATCCACAAACCTTGCAGGACAGGTTGACAGCACACTAACGGCACTCTCCTCTGCAGCGGCTCCTACCGGTCATAGCATACTCGTCAGGAGCAAGTGTATTGCTTCAGTACAGCTTCAGCCCTGTTACGAATGCCATATAACAGCCTTTGGCGGGATCCTTGCAGACTCACTCAGGAAACGAAACCATTCCGTCCGAGTTGGCGTCGAGGCGTCTAAGGAGATTATACGCCTCGGAGTCCGTCAGGGCAATCCCATGATTCCTAAGGTACCGTTGGAGGTCTCCACCTGTTGGATATTGAAAAATGCACCCGCTCGAGCCGCCACACAGCTGTAGTAACATGTTTCAATGATATCAGAAAGCTCAGCATAGTTAGCAAAAGGCACGAATAGATTTACATCACAGCAAGGCAAACCCAGAACTGGCTATAGGGCTTCGAAAGAATTGCAGATTCACTGGTGAGGCAGCCGTTCCCAAGGGGGTCTAGTGCAGCGAATGCCTTGTGAGCTGCAAAGGCTGGTCGGTGGGCAAGCGCAACTCGCAGCTCCTCCACCTGAATAATCAGCTCGTAAACGTTGCCAAATCGAGTTTTATATAGGTAAACTGTCACCAGCAACCACACCAGCTACTCCTGCTATGGAATGCTGGCAGTGGAAACCCTGGAGTGTCGTCGAAAAGGCATAAATACTAGAGTTCGTTGAAATCGTGTTTAGCCCGGGCAAAGAGAAGCTCTGCTGCTGAGGTGCTTCCTTGGTGCATCGAGATGGAGCACACCTGCCCTTCAAGCTCTGCAACCGAGACGAAGAAGTGGGCGAGGCGCTGCCTCGCTGCCAGAGAGAGCTGCATTTTAATGTCGATATGCCCACGGGTATTTCTGTGTTTCAAATGCGTCCTGTAAGACCCTTCCCCCAAAGCTGGTCCTCGAGGCCCTCGCTGCCTTGGCAGCGAGCACTGGCATAGGCTGAGCGTGAAGCCTTCCTCTACCTCCTCCACTAGGGCTTGTGCATGCCTAATATTGCGATTTAAAAAGCCAACACCGATTTTCCCCGTAGTCTCGAAAACTAAGGGGGATATATGCATGCAGGACAATGCGCACCCTGCTGCTCGCCTCGCGCATGCTCCCGAGGCCCGTGTTGTGTTGAAGTGCGGAAGGCCGCAGTAGCACACGAAATATTCGAATGCCCGTATAACTTCTTTGCTTTTGATCCATTTGTTACTAGGCTTGGCTTCAGCAAACTGTGGAGCAGACATTTCCAAATGCGCCTGTGCGGACTAGTGACCCTGAGCGCAGTGCACGTGGCCTCCCCAATGAATGCATCTCCTCGGTTACTTCCCAAAAGTGATAATGGAACTTCTCCAAATGCAACATTCCAATGAATGCCAACAAGCCTTTCTGCTGAATTTCCCGTGTTGCGCATTCTACTTCTTGGGGGTAGCCGTTTTCAAATGGCAACCGATCATCCTGCTGGCAAGCTAGCACTCTAGTCGCGGTTTCAAGGCATTAATGACTGCTTTTTTGGATCATGAAAATAGCGTAGACAAATTTTTGAGTTGGGTCCGTGGGTCTGACTACGAATAAACGGAGGATGCCAAAATGCCTCTCGGGGGGAAGCGGTTCGGTGGCACCTTGTGGAGCCGTTCCCCAACAGCTACAAAAAAGCTATTTGAATCAATTCAACGCATTTTTTGCCCATCCTTTGAAGCATCTCGTGAATATAGGCAAGGCCTTCTGCAAACGGTATGCTGATGGGGGCACAAGCATGGTGTGCGAAAGTTGATGGTTTGCTAGACCTGACGGTGTGCAGGAATGAGCGCATTGTGAGCATTCCGTCTTCCGACGTGCACCATATATCCAGATATCCAAGTCCAATAGTACTGGAGTTGTTATCAGCAAAGATATAAGGTTCTGCAAGGCAGAAATCGAAACCGTTTCACTGTCGAGCTTTCCTTACTTGAATCCCCTCTCGCTGATGAAGCATGAGCAAAGGGCAGATGGAGAGGTTGTGAAGGTGGAGGGTGGGGTGGCGGGAGAAAAGTGTAAAGGTGAATGGAGGTAACTGCTCCACTGCGCTTTTCAAGCACTGTCGCAGTTGCGCGATTTACGCACTATAGAAACCGGCCGGATGGGTAGCAACGCATGCTGGAAGAGACAAAATGGGCAACTCTTCCTTCTCAGCCTGCATGGTTCCACCATGTGGGCAAGCGCTTATTCACACAGACAGAATCTCCCGAATTACTCTCGTGATGTCTTGGAGCCCCCTGTACTACATTGCGCGTTGCTGGCGTTGTCACTAGCAGTGTTGCAGTTGTTATATTCAGCACACTCCTGGTTAGATCTCTGCCGTCTACTGTCAGTAATACAACCTGCTGAAGAGGTAACTTCAGATGACACGCCGCTCTCACTGCCTTCTGTGGCACTGCTCAGAGGCTCCTCAGGTTCATCACTACAACTGTCCCAGCGACGTGCTTGGCGTGCCTCCACAGTTATTTCGTGAGCCTTTTGTTTCATGCGTCGCTGCTCTTTTGCAAGCTTCTTGGCCTCCTTTTTTCGTAGTTTCTTCGCTTGTCGAATCGTTTTCCGATGTCGTCCAACTGACTTCAAGCATTTGAAAGGAATGCGGACGCATTTGCATACTACTTTAATAAAAGGCTTCAGAACAGGCCACAAAAGGAAGAGAGCCACGAGTGTGATCCCAGCTAGTAGTATTGTTTTCAGAGCCTTCTTCAGTGAACCAAAGCAATCGTGCCCTGTGAGTTCGCATATATTGCAAAAATGAGGCCGGAAGGTCAGGTCAAGGCTGCCTCTGCAACGTCCTCAGTGAAGAGGTGGGAAGCTCTTCGTTGCAGCAAAAGTTTCCCATGAAATTGTCAACCGAACAGACATCACATTTTCAACATTTGCGGGGCCTCATGAAAGCGTGCTGCCTGCAGACGCTGAATGGCTGCCAGATATGGAACGGAAACAATCATGGACAATATTTTTAGTCTCTTACAGTCAGCGGGTAGACATATTATATTCCAAAATGAGCAATCACATTCCCCGTCATTTGGCACCACATTCATGAGTCGCTGAAACCAATTTCGTTTATCCTGAAATGCGCAACAAACCGTTCAATTCGGGGATACTTCACCAGGTGTTTTATCTAAGGCTCCCCTACGAATGCTTTTTATGGGATTACCAATGCCCATATCAATGGGTCTCCTGAAGCTACTTTTAGATATAGATACACAATTTACGCCTCACTTCCGGCGGTTCTACAACAGTAACCTCTCCAGTGGGATTCGTTACAGCCGTTGGCAAGTCCTAGAAACAATATGCAAGCATGCGCAGCTGAAGCACCAAAAGATTCTACAGGAAGACCAGGGACCCCAGATGTCCTATGAGGTCTACGAGGGGTCCCTGCCCCGCTTCAGCTATTCTTTTGCCAATGAACGGGTGTTTCAGTGATTTTTTGTTGCTAAGCACTAGGGGGCCGATGCGAACAGTAGATGCAGATTTTTTAAAGTCAGTAATGCTAAGTAGGGCCTTCAACGACTCTATATCACAATCCTTTCCATCTTAAGACTTGCTCACCGCTGCCTTCCCTGTAAGGAGGTCAAATGACTTTATGTCCAGTTGATTAAGTTCTGAATCGTAAAGCTTCATTACGCAGTTAAAGTCAAACTCTTCAACAACGGCTGTAAGACGCAAAGTGAGGTCAAATGCTTGACTGGAGCCAGCCGGGACATTCCGCTGCACAGCCGAGACCGGGTCTAACTGAAGCAAACCAACCATCAAATCTTGTCATTAGAATGTCCGCTAGCCGCAGCGCACTTGTGCATAATGCCTGGGTCGCACTGAATCCCACTACGTAGTGGATCTGGGTTGGCCCTGACACTTCTTTCCCCTCTTTCTAATATCTCCTCTTAGGCCCACCTTATCCGTTGGCTCGTCGCTGCCGTGTTCTGTGCAATATGGCAGCTCCAAATAGAAAGTTGCATCCACAGAGCCTGCTCGGTCAAAACACTTCCCAGGAACTATGCAAGTACTTTCTGCTGAGCGCAGCTGCTAAAAGATTCATCATTAATTGGAGCGTCGGAGCAGCAAATGTTGAAGTTATACACCGTAGTGGTGAATTAAGTCGGCAAGCCTTCTGACTATTGTATTGAACCACATATCCATACCTGAATTCAGCACATACACTTTAAGTGGGCAGCCGAAGGTCTGAGCATTGTCGCATTCTCGTGGTGCTGGGGGCCTGCAGTTGATTGCAGTCAGACTGTACAAGGTGCTATGCGTTTCAGGCAAGCACCTGGCTGCATGCTTCAGCATCCCTTTGAGTATTCAAAGAATATGTCCTTGCCGCTTTATGCAGGCGGCTGCAAAAGTGAGGTGGGCCGCAGTGAACTGGGGCAACAGAATTGGCGTTTCACTGGTGCGGCGGTTTGGGGCTAGGGGCACGGCCACTCACGCTATACTAGTTATTTGACCCGGTGCCGAAGACTGAATCCAGCGAATCAAGCCGGCGTTCATCTCAATACGGACCTTACTTTTGTGATTCTTTGGATAGGCAAACGCCAAACGATGCAGCTCAAAAGGACCAGCTTTTGAGGTGTCGATAGCGTCATTCGCATTATCCAGACCCGCGTGATAACGCGGGTAGTTGCCTGGTGGGTATTCCAACTGCAACAATGCAGAATCACGATTCGAAGGGGCAGATCTAGGTTTCACTCTAGATGAAACTAAAAGTAAGCCCCTGGACTGGTTTTGTTGGCAGGCATGAAACAGGTACACTCCTTAAATGCGATCACTGTTTGGCTTATTCCATTTTGTGCATGCGTTACAGCATAAGGGGGTGTCCTGTTGGCCTTTGCAGCTTCTTCGTTGTAGGCTTGGAACCACTTTAGATTTTTCGCAAAGCAGCTCCCTGGTGAATAATCACAAAAGCCATCTCTTCCCCATTGCTGCAGCGAAACCCCTGGTAGGTCACAGGTGGCGCCGTCGACGGTAATGTCTTTCTCATCGAGGACAATCATATGCCTCAAACAGCTCTTTGGATTGCAAAACGGTGAACCTGAAATTACATGGCTCCGCACGACAAAATAATGGCAAGACACTACGTGTATTTATGTTTTCGAGCAACTGGGGGAGATCCTGTTACAACACGACACGCTCGCGAGCCTTGACAACTTCGGTAGTCCGTGAAGCGTCAATCTACTGAGCAAGCAGATATGTGGATCGACGCCGAACCAGCTTTGCATAATCTTGCCAAGTCAGGGTTATCTGCCTCGCTGACATTCCAAGCTGCAAGGTCATCCGAATCTGAGCATCCTTCCTGCAGTTCAGTATACATGCGCTTCCACTAGCAGAACCCAGCCAGTGGTGCTTTGGCAACCTGTTTTCTTCAGCCCCTGGAACAACCACGGGTTTGGTTGTACTGCTGCGTAAGTCATTCTCTGGTGCAGCTACTTACTGTTATGCGGGATTCTTGCACCCAGGCATTAGTGGAAGGCGCCGTTGGCACAAAAACGTATTTGCCTTCTACATTGGGAGCCTGCAAGGTGCGACATCTCCACATTTTCCGAAATTACTTGTAGGTATCTCGCTAGGTGTCCACATGAGATGGTTTTCGTCAGCTAGACCGCAAGCAATACAGATGCATATTTGATAATCAAGACGCTGCAGCGAAACTCACAGGATCATCTGGCATGTCTGAGCTCATCAGGCGGGCTGTGACGTCAAATGTTGCTGCTCAGATTGGACATCACCCATCCATCAATAGGGCCTCCAGAGGCCTTGCAGTATGGTACATTAGACATTCCATTGTCCTGATACGGATAAATGACTGATGATGAGCTAGAAAAGCATGCTCAACATTTCAGCATTGGCTGGATAAAACTTAAGGAAAAACCGCACTATCTTTGCTATGTGTGAACCAGTTCCCTTACAATCTCTGGCCACCTTTGTAGCATCGGAGAGCTCAAGAATTGCGTCAGCCATTCCTGCCTCCGTGTGGAGCCGCTGCGAACAGTCGAAATTTTTGGGATAGCTTCCTTCCGAAATTTTCTTCTTACATTCGGCTTGATATTCCTCGTCTGATAGGCTGGAGGGGCTGGGAGGCCCTGCGTACACGAAGGAGCATGCTATCGTGCCTTCCACCAAGTTCCGCTGGACCGGTTTTCAGTGTTTGTAAACCGTCCTTCAGGTTGCGGGTAAGGGTAGAAAAGTAACTTCCCCCAATACTGGGTATGCCAATATTTAGAGGCTGGAACAGACGAGTGGATGAAAAAGAATATGATGAGCATCCAGTTTGGCCTACCCCAGCCTAGGGACTGTGGAACCATGCAAGCTTAATTGAAGTGCCTCGTGCTCACTCCACCACGATATACCGACGTGCACCTTGAAAAACCATGTTCGATTCTCGCTAACCTTCAGCATACGGTACCATGGATATTCGACGACGGGGCAGAACTTCGTCAGGTAAGGATCTGGGATTTTGCCGAATCGCAACCCTGAGAAGGTCCATCAAGCCAGAGAAAGCAACATTTTGTTTCGTTAAGGAAACGCATGCATGCCTAGAAATTCACCCCCATGTGCTGCTACTATCTGGAGTACGTCCATCGCCGGCGCGAGTGATGATGCTTTTCTTGCTGCGCCGCATTCACAAGCCACTAGGCACTCACCCCAGAAGTTGCATTTCAGCATTGGCTCCCTTCCTCTGTTGGGGTTATTAAGCCACAAATGCCATACGGATGGGCACCAGCAGCACCTCCCTTGAGCTCCATCGAGAGGGAGCCCTGAATTGGGACTGACCGGGTACCCGTTCTCTCCATGCTCATCCTGGCATTTTGATCCCCAAGTATCGGAGCAAAACGTTTCTCCGCCATGTTTGACCTGCCACAATAAGGCGCGGTGGGCGTACTCTACCCAGTTGTACGGGACTGCCTGAAAGTTGGAAAACGCAGGCCTCTCGTAAAACCAACGCCGATATCTTCTTGGTGGAGGCATTCCATTCCATGCATGTCCAAAGCATGCATATACTACTCTTCGCACTGTACGAACGCCGTATTTACACCATTATGCAAGGCCTCGGCACTTCACTAAGTCAGTACAAGAGTCCAAAACCCCATCAGAGTTAGATTTTGAAGAAAAGGGAACGGAAATGGTCGAGTAACAAAAATGAATATCCCCCCTTTAATAATTTTACCTTTATGTAAGTGAGGCCATACGAGTAAGATACAGCCGTCTTTTGCACAGTGATAACAACTCCAGCGTTGCCTGCGTCGCTCTTCCGTGGAGATCGCTCATTTATGTCGCCAGCTTCCCACTGAAACTGCAGCTTCTGAGACACCGAGACAGCAGCAAATCGGTGGCTGACGTAGATTCAGCGCAACAAGTGGTTCTGTGAGCAGTTTCGCGGAGAACAGCAGCAAATTCCAATTCTACATCCATAGAATAATATGTGCGTCAAAAAACAATGAGCTCGCGGAATGCATCAACTCTTGCAGAAGTGCTAACGGGTACGTACATCAAGATTGTTGACATCAAGCTCAATAATGAGCCTTTCTGTGCACCCGGATGCTCCAGAACACACAGTTTCTACTGTTGAGGTGCCCTGACCCCAACATCCCACTGCCTGAAGTGTAAGGCTCAGGAAAAAGATCATGAACGCGCTCCCAAGCTTGCCGCCCATCGCAGCCACAGGGCGTAAGGTGTTCGTGCTGGCTCGTGCGGCTCCTGCGTTCTCTAGCAAGGTACACGAGGAAACGCTTGCGTATTCGTTGAATCGCTCATTCCTTTGAACGCGCTGCAGCTGGATCCATAGAGCTGAGACGTTCGGCTGTCCTACCGCTTCCATGGCAACCAGCAGCGATCTAAAGCAGGACTAAATTCTTGTAGCGCCGCAGGTGCACGCTATACGTCGTTGATGCTCTCGTTAGCAAAGCTCAAGGAAGGCACTCATTCGGACCACCAGAACTGGTGCTCCTTCGGCTCCCTTCAGCCCATAATGAGCTGACCCTTTCCGAAGTACCCAAGGGAAATGACCGTTGAAAAGGGCAGAAGTTCTGTGTTCAGCGTCCCCACACAGCTCTATGCTTTCTGGAGAGCTCAGCAGCGAGTGAAAATGTTTAGGAGAAGCTGATCAGTATATTGTCACTTCACTACATTACATGCTGCTACTACTACCGCCACGATGAGTTCGTACGGGTTGAAAGGCACGAAGGCCCAACTCTGAGCGTGGCACGGCCTAAAGTGCTCAAAACCGTCTGTACTTATCATGAAAACTACTTACAATTTGGAGTGCAAGGCTGCAGGCAATCAGTCGGTAAACTAAGTATGTTCGCACATGAAATGACACTGTTGGGCAAAAAGTGCAGCTGTCGCAGTAGCGTATGCTTGGTGCATTAGTTTCGCAGGCGAACAAACTTCCAATGTCTAATAAGGCGCCCCCAAAGGCTGCAGCAAAAACAAAGCTTCAAGCCGCTTCAGGGACCATGGTTGCCTGAGCTGTACAGTCCTTAAGTGGTCCACTGTTGCCTAAAAGCAACATGAAACAGACTTCAGTTCAACGGCGAAATGAAGCCTAGCCTCAAAATTACCTTTTCAGAACTCGTTAGAGAACATTTTCTGTAGCGTAAACGTAGTATTCTGCTTCGAGGCTCGCGCAGCATGCCGACGTGCGCCGCCCGCGCAGCACACTCCACCCTGCAGTCTGGCTTGATCAGTAATGGGACTCAGACATATCAAAGTCGACCATGTAATTAAGATGCCATTATTTCCTAACAAAAATCTCTACAAAGTAACTTACTGCGGATTTTTGTACTACGATGCCACGTGAAGTGTGCCGTGCACTGCTAGACTATCCGCATATGTTCCTTTGAGGCCCGCTTGCTTGGGTAGGGTTATAAATTACCTGGCAGCAGTACTCCAGATTTATTGCCGAAATACTTACTCCTTACCTTTGATTATCCACGAGCTCTCTACTAAGTAAGAAGTGTTGCTGCTTCCCTGTAATCATGCATGCCCACAGGCGCTGCTATCACACGGGCTGCGCCGCTAAACCCTTTGGCTACTGGGACGATCAGAGTGCTTTCCAGCTATATACCGCATCGTATCACTTATTATGTCACGTTCTCCTGCCTAAGCCCGCTAGTGGGAGCCACTTTAGTGTGCAGAACTAGAACTTCCCCTTAGCCCTGAAGCTATTTTCTACTCGGGAACACTTCCCTTTGGTGGCCCGTAGCTGTGACGGGACTCCTCGATCTTAGTCTAGGACTCTTATTAGACGCAATGGATGCAAAATATTCAAGATGAGAGACCCCACAAAGTGTAGCTGTTAACCCCTCCGCGGCGGCACCCTGTTACACTGGAACAAAGGCCTGTCTGCTGTTCAAGTTGGCACGTATTTTTCTACTTGTGTGCGGGCTAGTTACTAGTGGCCAAGTAGATATTTAACAATTCTCTGCAGCCTCAGTTCATTCATGAGAAGGGAGCTTGGGATCCGGGGTTGCCTTCTAGCACCACTTGGAGCAAAGTGCACCAAGGTGGGCAGCAACTCTCGAGGCGGTCTCTTCTCGGCACCAGCCCGGGTCTTTGCATCGTTCTGCTCAGGATGCATAGAGGGTGGAGGGAGGTCAGTATCTCTTATTGGAGGAATTTTAGCTCTTTTACAGCTGTAACTCGTAACAGGCAGCCTCCTGTCTCCACCAGATTCACTACCGTGGAGGACGCGCGTGACAGCTGAATCTGGTGGAGAGAGGAGGCTGCTTATCGCGAGTTGCAGCACTCCTCTCTACGACTCCCGCTGAAGGACGACCCCACAAGCAACCAAGTCCTAGCAGTGTACACAGCTTGTAAACACAGCTTATTTGGCCCTCAGTAGCCAGCCTGCACGAACGTAGAAATGCGCGTACGCATTTCATGGAGGACATACTACAGCCGCCCCGCTTTCTCTTCCAAGTCTCACATGCCACCATTTGCTCGGCTATCTCCTAAGAAATGTGGGGAAGGAGAGGAGAGTAGGGAGCGACAGGGGCGAGAGCGACAAACGGAAAACGGAAATGCAGAGCAACAGGTAAAATTCTGAGGGAGTTATTTGCTAATGCCACTTCTATTGCAACTGCCTATATCAGGACGAACTGCAGCCTGCACGCAGTTTCAAAGCGCTCCTGAGGCCGCTGGGAGCGGCCATCCCCCAATGGGACCTCAGCTCCAAATTGGGGGAGAAATGAGGTTGCTATTGACGGCATCACTAAGCTAGGCTTAAGCAGCGAGGGGGGCGAATATCACGGTGGGAAGATAAATAGTGCCCAGTAGGCCGAAGGCGTAAAGGTATGACCCCTTCTACACGCGTGGCATTGCAACACAGTAACTGCAGAACGTCATTGGACCTAGTTTAGCGCCATGGGTTCCTATGCAATCCCCAGCCGGCACAAGCTGTGTATATGTGTATGTAACTCTGCAGATGCATGCTCAAGGGGCGAGATGCCAACAGCCAGGTCCACTATTGTCCTCGAGCATTTTTGCCACGTTTTGGCGAAATCATGCTTGTAAGGCCAACAGAGCAGGTAGTTTCCACTGTCTTCTGTGTTCTTTAGGCAATTAACGACAGCGTGCAACCCACCTCAAAGAACGTACAGGGGCCCCCATATATATATATATATATATATATATATATATATATATGGATGTTTGAAAGTACAGGTTGAACGGAAATGCACTTGAAAGTGCCGACAAATCCGAGGTTGGATAATGGAGTTCTTTAATCGTGCAATGAAACTAGAGCTTCCATCGCTTTCATTACCTTTCCTGTGCGCAGTATTCACGGAAGGAGAGCCTCTTAAGATTTCGATGCACTGGACAGTAGCACCTAGCGGAGATGCTGCTCTCTGCGATATTTACCTGTGCAA